TAATAATGTTTCCTTTCTAGATCATTAGTGGCATCTCTCCCACTGTGGCAAGCAACCAGTCTGTCCTCAATGCCCTTCCAATGCAGCCCTTTATCCTCTGTCCCTGCTCGTCTCTCCTTAGCAATTGGGCAGCAAAAGGAAGGGACTGAGTAGCGTTCTGGGAAGAAGGGAACCCCCAAAGAGACAATATGATTCTTTTCTTGGGGCCTGAGTTGCTGCCTTCACCCCTTAGAGAGGAATGCACCACTACATCCATTCCCCCCCCCTTGACCATGAACCCACATGCTACTTGGTCTAAAACATCATGGAGACAGGGGAGAAGATAGATGAAGTCAAGGGTTTGGCATAATGGCAACCCCTTCAAACATGTGGGGCCTGGGCAGCTGTTTGACTTAGATGCTGGATGGTGGATTTTGGTTCCACACACTCTGGCTCCCAGGAACTTTGGACCCTGAAAGAGAAGACCAAATCCTCTTGCAGAGTTTGGAAATGTTACTTTTCTGAACTACATTTCCCAGGATTCTGCAGCCAGCATGGGGACGGGTGATGTTCACTGGAAGGTTCTGGTAGTTTTAGGACCAAAGAGAGAAAAAGAAAGCAGAAGAAGAAATAAAAGGAAAAGAAACAATTCCACCCCCCCAAAAAATTCTGCATTTTCTACAAGGTGGAGGGGCAACTGTGAGAAGAATGAGGCTAAGTAAGAGACTAGTGGAGTGGTGGAAGCATTACAAAAACACATGCCTGAAAACAGAAAATGTAGGAATGGATCAAAATTCTGTTCAGTTATTCATTGGATGAGCTCAAGCAAGTCATCATCGTTTAGCCTTATTTAAAAATCACATTATTTTATCTTTTATATATTACAATGCCTTCTCTAATTTTTTTTCCATTGTTTACTTCCTTTTTTTCTAGTTATTGGGTGAATGTTGCTATACTCTCCCAAGCTTTCAGTAGGGTACATGTATAGTATGAACCTGTTTTGGATAAATATGATATGTTGATGATAGTAAATTGCCAACAATTTCAATTTTTATTCTTGCACAGTTTCTATGTTCATATCTAAGCTGGCTTAGAAAAACATCCCAGTCTACAGAACAATTCTACAACCCTTTATAAAACCTTTTTGCCTTTGATGGCATAGATTAAAAACAAGCAAACAAACAAACAAACATATGAATTAGAAAATGGGAGGGGGAGAGAGAAAGAGAAATAAGAAAAGAGGAAAAAATCAAGATGAGGTTGGGAGGAAGAAATGGGAAAGTGAATAACCTCGTCAGTGTATGACCTGAAGGCAAGCTGAGGCAATGCTCAAATGGCTAGAATTTGGGATGATTACAGGAAATGCAAAGCCAGACATCCATGGTGGGAAAAAAAAACCCAAAACAAAACAAAAAAAGCTGCCATTACTTCTCTTAATTATTTAAACTTTTTTTCACACACACACACACATCAGTAATTTCTGCCCCAGGTGTTCTGGGGAGATGATCACAGTTTACCTCAGGCCACCCAATAAATATAAAGTTTTATTCAGTAATTTTATAGCCCAAACCGTACTTTATTTCTACCTATTAGTTAAGCTGATTTCCCCAGGGTGTTCCTCTATCATGGAATTCACGGCATTATACTGTACACAGGATTCCCTGGGAGCCTCCCATCCAATAATAGATTCTATCCAAGTCAGCATGGCTTCACCTGAATGGCTATATTCTCACAAACCTTTTGGGCCACACCCTGGGGCCTGGGATTTGAACAGGGAATTCCTCACATTTTTTCCTGGGCTCTTTTACATCAGCTCTAACATGAGAGATGCTGAAACGCTTGGCGGTATAGAGCCCCAAAACAAAGCGAAACCAGTGGGTTTCTTTGGCAAGACCACAGGTAGATCCAAATCCTTAATCAGAAACCCCTCGGTCTCCTTTTAATCTTCTTTGAAACTTATTTTATGTTTTTGAGACATAAAAACATATTAATCTGTTTTAGCAGGAAAACAAACAAAAAAGAAAGAAAGAGAAAGCATCGTGGGACTTTCAAGACTAACCCATTGATTTCAGCATGCCTTTTCATGGACTGTAATCCACTTCTTCAGACACATGAAGAATTATTTCATGTTAAAGATTATGACCTGGACCTAAGGCCAACTGTTAGTTCCAACAAGGCTCTGCAGTTAATAGAAAACTGGTAGCACAACATTTGTAAAAGTTTCGTTCATTCAGTGGGTTTATGCTAGTATAGACGAACACTGTGCTTGGGCCATTATATAAGAATGCAAATGAAAAAGAATTAATATTAATTTGGTTTTAAATGTTCAAATATTTATTAATCTCAAAAATAGAGTACTGCGATGCTCTTTATGCAGGGCTACCCTTGAAAACGGTATGGAATCTTCAGGAGGTCCAAAATGCAGCATCCAGACCGCTCTTTGGGATGAGTAAATTTGATCATATATCCCTAGCCATGGCCCGCCTACATTGGTTCTCTCTTAGTTTCCATGCTTAATTCAAGGTGCTGGTTATGATCTTTAAAGTCTTAAATGGTTTAGTACCTCAATCCTTTTCAGAACATCTCTCCCAAAATTCAGCTTCCTATGTCACACTTTCCTCTTAGTCCACCATGTGAAAGGTGGCTACGCTGAGGGAAGCCAGAAAGTTAACAACAAGGAGTTGGGCTTTCTTAGTTACAGCCCCCATTTTGTGGAATAAACTACCAGTTGAGGTAAGCCAGGCGCCATCCCTCCTAATATTCAAGAAATTACTCAAGACAGAGTTATATAAGGCAGTACTTTAGGACATCTTATTCTCAAATGATATTAATTTTAATGTTTGAACCTCAGGGTTCTGTATGTCACCACACTCAAGTCGCTTATATCACCATTTTGATTACGTTATTATATTTTTATAAAAATGAAGTGGGTCATGGTTGTGGGGTTTTGCTTGTTTGTGCACGATCCAGCATAGTATGAATTCAATAACTGGGCAGTATTTAAATTAAATTAAATTAAATGACATTAAATTAAATTAAATTAAGTGAATAGCCCACATGACATTAAAAGCTAGAGTATGGTTTAATGAAATATGGCATGTTATTATATGCAACCTCACCTCTGCTAATAAGCTAATTTTTTCAATTAGCGACAAACCATAATGTGAACCATGGTTTGTTGTTGGCTTGTTTAAACCATGGCTTCCTGTGATGCCTGATCCTGCAGCCATGGCTCATTTATTGTTTTATTCACTAACTACCCAACTTAAAACAGGCACTGACAAAGGGAATAGAAGAGAAACAATCCAAAAATTGGGAAGATAAAGATGCAGTTTGTTTTGTCATCTGCTATGGGTTTGTCATGGTTTACATAACAAATGATAATTAAATCAAACCATGCCTATATACAATGACACCTAATGGACACAATCACACTATGTAAAGCAGGGACTCACACGATTCCTGCAGCATAGGTTATAAGCAGTGTGTTGCCACATTCTGGCCATTTTCTGCCTGCCTGCAGCAAAAAATCATGTAGATTTGCTCTGTGGTTTATTTAGTGCAGTGGTTCCCAACCTTGGGTCCTCAGATGTTCTTGGACTAAAACTCTCAGAAGCATTTACCACTAGCTGTGAGGGCCATAATTTTTGGGAGTTATTGTCCAAGAACATCTGGCAACGCAAGTTTGGGAACCACTGGTTTCTGCATCACTCAGATATGGGTACAGCATCCTCTCTGATTTATTATTTTTTCCTAAAAACCAGGAAAACAAGTCTAAAAGAAACCTTGGTTTCCTACTCTGGTTTATTAGGACAACAGGGTAAAACTATGGAGCTTTAAGTCATGGTTTGCTTATCCACTCTTGCTACAAAGAAGAAGCTGTGAGGCAGTTACACTACTTGGAACCCGTTAGCCAGATTTCCCATAGATCTCTGGTCTATCGTGTTGTGTGAATGCAGTCAGTATGTAACAGATTAAAAATAAACATAAAAATGCTAGCAACAGAACCAGGGTCCTGAAGAAGGTAATACGGGGGTGGGGGGGGAGAGAAAGAGTCTGTTTGTAAATGGAGGAACAGGGGTTAGTATTGGGTTAACCATGTATATTTAGGGGAAGCTGTAAGTATGAAGCGTGTAAGAGTGGATATAATGCTCTTACCTCCCTCAAGTGTGTCAAACTCTATGGCCTCGCTGAGGGGCCCCTCCCCCCGCCCATTGAGCACAGTCATCTGAACCCGATACCAGCTCCAGGGCCTGAAGCCCCCCACTGTGATTTCAGACACATTTCCCTCAATCAGCACTTTCCCACGGGAATGGGCATGAGGATGTGCCTGCTGATGGTTTCGCTGTTCCAAGGTTCCCAGCCAGTAGTAATACACCTAAGAAGTAGAGAGAGAGAGAGAGAGAGAATTACGGAAACTCCTATAACTTCACCTCCACCCTTACACACCCAGTGGCTTCCTTCTGGCACCACTCTATGTCATGTGCCTCTGACCATGTGTACAGTATCTCACAAATGCACATTTTTTTCGAAACAAACCAAGTGATGGCTGTGTCAGTGTGAAACCAATTCCCAATGGCACACTGAGACAATGCTTTTATAGGCCAAACAAAAAGCCCCTATAAAAGCATGCCCAACACAACAGGTGAAGCTCCACTATCTACCTAACTACCTACCGACCTACCAAAAATGTGTGAACTTTTAAGAAAAAGCCCCTATAAAAGCATGCCCAACACGTGAAGCTCCACTATCTACCTACCTACCTACCTACCTACCAAAAATGTGTGAACTTTTAAAAATATACTCTGTCCATCAGGTGAGATTTTAGAAGTAAGCTGGGGGAGGAGAGTAGACAGAGGGAGGACAACGTCCTCTTAAGTCCTTGTTATGCACATGCTGCCTGAGGATGTACTGTACTGCAGAAGGAATACTTGAGACAAAGAAATTGATCTTTAGGTATACGTGGGTGTTAGCTCAGTCTTCCTCTCTCCTTTCCTGTGAGATATCAATCTACGTATGAGGTCCTGAATTGGTTTTGGGACAGCATGACCATCATTGCTTTTGTTTGTGAATACCTAATTTAATCGTTCATCAGTGGGACTTACACAGGAGCAGATGATACTACTGGAGGCGGGAAATCATCAAACAAAACACGTAAAGTTCTACTATTTATTTACATTGACTTTCTTTACCTAATACATTGTGTAAAGTTAACTCCACTATGGACAATATAAAGACTGCCTGCTGGCTCTCTTGTTTTCTCGTGTGTCCAGACGGGATAAAACCAGCTCTGAGTCCTCTGTGGGAGACACTGTTCTATTTTGATGGAACAGCTAAAATGTCTCACTTTTCAGTGCTCATTGAGTCTAGAGCCTATCACAGGAGCAAATTGTATAACCTGAGGGGACCCCCCAATTTTTTTGTCTGTAGCATTTCTTCCCCCCCCCATTACATGCTGAAAACAGGTAGGGAACAAGGGCTTAAGAACAGCCTTCCCTCGAATTTCCACTCCCTTTTCCTTCCCATTTACTTTTAACATCTCTTTCAAGTTATGAATAAAGCATGTTATGTTGCTAAAGCAGCAAAGCAAATGTAGGCTTGCTATGAAGAGAACTACTGCATATATTTGAATTTTCAGATTTCTGTCATTCCTCCACAGAAATGAGGCAAAACTTTTCTCATACTTTCAACATTTCCACAGTTTGTACATCTCTAGTTGGGTTACCCAGTGTGGGGAAATTAGGACTCCGGGCACCTGATTTGAATCCCCACTTGATCATGGAAACTCACTGAGAGTGGGTGGCACAGATGAAATTATTCCTTAACTATCTCACTTTCCTTGAAAGCCCTATTAGAACTGATATAATTTGGTTCCAACCTGACAACGTATAACACACACAAACATGGACTATAACTTCGTTCTGTGGTAATGTTGAAATTAACAGACCTTTACGAATGCATGTCCATTATTGCTACTGACTGGATATATTCTGATTTACCTGGAATCCCCTGAGGTGGCCTAAAACCTTCTCTTTGTTAGGGAGGATCCATGAAAGCTTGATAGTGGTGCTGTTAAGGACTTCAACTGCCAAGTTCTCTGGAATCGCCCCCGGCACTGCAGGGAGGAAGAGAGGAATCCGTTGCCTTCTCAGAGTGAGGTGAAATGAGGCAAGAAAGAGAGTGAGACTTTGGATTTAATCTTGGTCACTACTAGGTATAGGCCCCAGAGACTTGCTGAATCCTGGATCTATACTACCAGTAAATACTAGCAAATTCATATTTAATACAGATTTTTGCCTTTTGGGCTTGCACCCTAAATCATTTCAATACCCAAGAAATGCCCATAGGTCCAACACTGGATAGAGAGATGGTCATTACTTCAGGTGTGATGAAGTCTAGACCACAGAAAACAATGGAATCCATCATCAATTATGTCAAGCTCCAAAATATTTCCTACACTAGGGGTTACACTACCCGTGATCCTCAGTATCACTTCAAATTCTTCTTATCATTGATCAGATCAACTCCTAGCATTGTATTCGGAGAGGGAGGGATAGAAAGAGAAGGGATGGATGACAGGGAGGGGGGAGAACTAGTGAGAAATAGTTTGGAAAAGTTGCTTTTTTTATATATTGTAACAACCCAAATCCCCTTGGCTAATGGTCATCCTTACTGGGAGACTCAAGACAACATAATTCAGAGAAGAAAGTTTTGTAAGCTCTGGGGAAAAAAGGGGGGTGAGTTTATTTTGGTTCTAGCCCTGAGGCAGTCCCAAAAGCAGCAAAATCAGGGAGCTGGACAGGGGACAGATTGTATTTGTCTTCAGTGTGGAAGGGACTGTCACTCTGGAATTGGCCTTCTCAGCCACACTAGATGCTGTTCTAAGTCCTCCATACAGAGCACGTTACCATAGTCTCTCGAGACTGAAGGATGCCTAATCAGCCCTGTCCATTTCCAGCTGCACTCCTGCCCACCCCTGGCATTTGCACCTCTCCAGAGATTCCCTTGGAGGGAATGTACTTCTGAACAGAAAACAAGTTGCTCACCCCCCCACCCGGTCAGCGCAACTGTCTTAGGTAAATACCTGGATTCCAAGATCATTTTAAAAAAGGAATCTATAAAATAAATGGAACCACACAGGTCCTAACTGTGATGAGGAAGTGAAGAAATATGCCTTATTTTTAAACCCATTCTCTTGGCTTTTCACCAATTTTGTTTAAAATACTGTGCCCCTCCCTACAGCACCCATGGAAGGCTAGCTAAGTTAAAAAAATCTGTTGTTTTTATTCATATTTATTGTTTTAGTTGATTGTAAACTGCCCAGAGGAGTGTTTTCGCACAAATGGGGTGGTATAAAAAATGTAATAAATAAGTAAATTTAAAAATCTAACCCTAACCCTAACCCCTGAACAGAGACCGTGAGCCCACTCGGGACCTCCCTCGCCCCTCATCACTCACCATCTTCCCCGGAGAAGCCCTGTTCCGTGGGAGGTTCAGGTCCTTTGCCAAAGTCATTGCGTGCCTGCACCTTGATCTCATAGGGCGAGAAGACGGGGGTGCCCGTCACCACCACAGGAGGGGCTTCGACTTCTGTCTCGTTCCACTGGCCTTCACTTCCTAGCCGCCACTGCACGTGATATTTCAACGTTGGGGCGTTCCACTCCCAGGGATGCAAGGGCTGAAAGGGATGTGGCAAGGTGGGGGAGGAGGTTGGTTGAGTGGAGAGAAGACGAGAGAAAGCAAGACAAGTAAGGCAAGCCCCAAGTCTATCTACTCTGAAAACAACAAGCTGGACCGGACCCAGAGGGGAGGGCCACCCCCACAGTGAGCAGATGTTGGGATAACATGTGGCTCCTTCCCACCCCTCCCTCTTGTGGCCAATTGTGTTTCCCCATTGTTCCAGGACAGAGCTGCATAGGAAACCACCTCTCTTGGGACCTCCTCCCCTAACCTGTTGTCCCAGTTGTGGTAGAGGATGATGCCCCATTGCCAGTGATGAAATGAGACTGAACTCCTGGTCCAGCCAGCTTCTGTAAGTACATCAGAGGGGAGATACCATCCAATGCTCACCTTGGACAACAAAACAACTCTGGGTGTTCACAAGCAAGATAATATACGCAATATCGTTCCCCTGTCATTCATCCTAGTTGGACATGGCCTCTGTTCACGTAGGTCCTGCTTTCCACCACTCTGGTGCAGAGGGTGGTCTTAGGATAGGTTACGCATTTGTGTTAGAAGGCCAGGGAAACTAGATTCATCTGGATAGCATCTGGACCTGCTCATTTGTTCATCTTTTCAAGTTATGAGGCTTTCAACTATAGCTCTGGAGAAGAACATGCATACAGAAGGTCCTGGGTTCAATTCCTGGCATGTCGTGCCAGAAAAGGGTTGGGTGGTCTGATGTGAAAGGGCCTCTGCCTGAAACCCCAGAAAACTGCCACCATCAGAGGAAGTAACATTGGGATAGATAGTCAACCAGGTGCTATTTAGTCACAGTCCAGTTTTCAAGAGGGAGATTCAAAGCATATTGCTTTTTATAGACCCTAAAGAGCATCATGAGAACAGCGAGGCAAAATGCTCAGGGGCAAGAGGAGCTCAGCGTACACACTTCCCTCAGTCTCATTCCCCATGTTTTTTTCTGGTACCACCCAAGGACTGCAGGCGAGACAGAATGACATGGCCCACCAAGGCCGACTGTGCCAACTTCCAACAAGGTAGAAAAGGTAGAAATCTCCACTGCGGTCCTTTTGACTGCTGGTAGAAAGCATTTGTGGTTTTCCAACAACTCCTATCTAATAAACTCCCTGCATGCAGAAAGCCAGAATGTCAAGGAGAGGATCATGCTGCTAAATGGTTTTACTAGATAAGTTCATGATCTACATATAGAGGGAGATTTATTTATTTACTTATTTATTTTTAAGCATACCAAGGTGCACAAAAATTGCATCTTCCACCAAGAGGTGAAGCAATACAACCCAGCATTGTGCCTCAGACACCACAGCTGAAGGTGCTTCTTCTGTTCAGCGGGGGCAGCTCTAGTCCGAGGTTATGCCAGTGTCCCAAAACAAAAATTATGCAAGAGAAATAAGTCTGTGTTTGTTTCTGTTGAGGGATCCCCTAGATCCTTTTTTCTTTTTGCTGTCAAAGATGCATTTAAAAAGAGAGAGAGAGAGAGAGAGAGAGAGAGAGAGTGTGTGTGTGTGTGTAGGTGTGTGTGTGTGTGTGTAGAGCTATGGTGCCCCTTTGTTCAGGGCCAGGGATGAGAACCATGGAGAGCAACTGATGCTGGGCCAGCTGCAGCCGTGAGGACTGTGTCCCTTCCACCTCTTGTGTATTTTGGCAACATTTGGGTAGCTGAACTTGGTACAGGCTTGTCTGAGTTGACATCTCTGGCACCAGCTCTCTCCTGGGAATGGAGCCCAAAAACCCCCATCATTATGGCAAGCATGAGAATTTGGGGACATTCCCAGATGACTAACATTCTGTAGTCGGAACAGGCTGTTACCACCCCTTTTCACTGGAATGCAAACAACACGACAAACCCAAACATGATGAAAGAGATAATAAAAGACACAAGTGGCAGCGTGTGTGCATACACCGCTTGAGCCAAAACACACTATTCTGACACACACTGCTTTTCTCACCCATAAAAGACAGTAGGAAAGAAGTTCTCCTTCTCTCTCTCTCTCATTCACTAGAAAACTATCACAGGGAACAGTGAAGATTATAGCGAAACACATGGGAATCCACCATGGATTAGACCAGGCTTGTCCAACCTGCGGCCCAAGGGCCGCATGCGGCCCAGGTCAGCTCACAATGCGCCCAGTGCAATTTTTTATTTTAAAAGAAATTCCAAAGTTTCAAGTTACACTGCTGGCGCTTGCGCCCAAAATGTGGCCGGGGCATGTCACAACAGTAGAGGGGGAGAGAGGGAAGGAAGGAAGGAGTGGGAGGGGAGGGGACAGGGGGGCTGTGTGACTGCATTGCACCCTCCCCGTCAATAGGCAGACCCCCTCCCAGCCCCATAAAGCTGCCGGAGTCGAAGCTGGCAGCCTCTGCTGTCTAAGATCGCAGCTACCGGTAAGCGCGCTTGGAGCGGGGCTGCAGAGGAAGGCTAGGGCTGCCCCCCATGCGGCCCAGACCAAATGTATGTGCAGCCCAAACCAAATTTTCATCTTCTAATGTGGCCCAGGGAAGGTGAAAGGTTGGACACCCCTGGATTAGACCATATAATTTGGATGGCCAAGTGCTACAGGAAATGAGTCAGAGTCAGCATGGTAATCCAAGAAGCCAATAGGACAAAGAGCACCAGGTTACTGTATATCACGGCAACCCTGCAAGGCAGGACAAAGAGTCTCGGCCTGGTGTGTTTTTTTCAAGGAAGGGGAGGATAGAGCCTTTTTTCAAGGGGAGATTTGAACTGGAGTCTTTCCCACTCATGCAGTCAACCATTCAGTCAACACTTCTCAAATCACACAGCCCAGTGATGAGCTGGGTTCCGGGAAATTCATTCTCTTCTCCTCTTCGTTCATATCTAGTTCATTTGCCAAGGTCAAGACTAGGGATCCTGTAGACCTCTAGACCTTGTTGGGCTCCTCCTTGTCCTCATCTGTCATTGTCAACGTGACCCATAGTGAAGAATAATGAGAGCTACTGTTCACCAACATTTAGATGGTCAGAGATTCCCCAACCCAGGCTTAAGTAACCTGGGTTATTTGACTGGGAATTTCCCACTCTCATTGCTTTGTGACATGATCCCATTCATTGCTTTTGGACTCTTAGATGTGCAATTTTATGAGTATCTTCATTTGTATACAATTCTGAACTTTTAGGAAAGTAGTATAAAAACCTGTACAGCAATAAATGAACAAATCCCAGTGGGACCTGTGTTCGGATCACTAAGTCTGGTTGATGCCTCTCTGCTGAGGGCATCTGCTGGAGACCTGTCATGCATTCTGTTAGCTTCTCCCCATGCTGTGATGAGCTCTTTGTATTTGGAACTGTTGAATTCACACATGGACAGATGCTATGGTGAAGGTGCAACTGCACAAGGCTGAATTTGTGATTCTGGCTGATGCTACTATAGTTGTGCACATACCAGAAATTTTATTTCTTTCTCCATGCAGAGCATCATATTAATAGCCTTCTTGCATGGTCATGGAACCTGACAGCTTTCACACTGCAGAAGGCTGCCAGGATGGGAGTGGGAATTCCCTGTCAAATAAATGAAGTGACAAATGCTAGAAAAAGCCTTTGTCTGAGACGCCAAGGTGTTGCTGCTAATCAAAGATTCAGAGAAACAGAATCAGTGTAAGGCAGCTTCAGACACTCAGACGTTGCAAGAGCAAGAGGTCAGTGTTTTTGCACTGAGGAAAATGAAGTTACTGCTGAAAAACCATAATAATACATATGCAAGATGTGACCACAGCTCAGATTCTCACTGCAGACCGTGTGTGTGTGTGATTGCAACTAGCGATGGGGGTATTTGTAGACAAATACGATATCCCCCCACAGGTGGAAATAACGAGGGTCCAGCCCCATGGGGCCAGATGGTCCACTCACCATTCGCCCGCTGCCATGGGCACAGCAGCGTCTTCCTATCGCACTGTGCTCCGCCATGGATTAGCCACTCTGCGACCTGGCAGAGAGGATTGTCATCCCGCCTCCAGCCAGGAGCGGCTAAACCACTGCGAATACGAATATCGCCATCTCTAATTGCAGGTCATCCCGCCTCCAGCCAGGAGTGGCTAAACCACTGCGAATACGAATACCGCCATCTCTAATTGCAACCTATTAATGCAATCTGCCTTGAGGATTATCTGACTGAAAAGTGGGATAGAAATCTTCTAACTGAGGCAAGCCCAAATCTCTTTTTATGTATCTATATCCTGAGCATCTGGTGGCTGGAATTGTTTGTCTTCATGTAATTTAATATTATGCTGCATAAATCTGCCAGGCAGCATACCCAGGCAGTGAGGATTGTGTGATTCCATTGCATAGTCAGTCACAGTGGTTCCTGTTGCAACTGGCTGTGCCATGCACCGGCAGAAGTGCTTCGTGAATTAAAGCCACCACTTTGATCACACCAGATCATGCAAGCGTAGCTTCTCTATAGGATTCTAGGGACAAATTTCATACAATTGCAATTCTCAGCACTCTACAGTAACTCCCCCAATGGTGACCCGGCCCCACCCTGTATGCCTAATTGTTTTTTATTGTTGGAGATGATGGGAGTTCTTGTCCAAAAGAGAGAATGCAGGAGATAAGCAAACAAAGGTTGTTATAGTAAGCGCTAAGATGCACAAGAACATTTTCTCAGAACCAATAACACTGCTAGAGAGAAACAGATTAGGGTGAGGGATGAGGGAGAGGGATGGCAACTCCAGTGACACAAATATACTTGTATTTTACCGTCCAGGTGATGATCATGTTACTGGTCTCATTTCCCTCTCCTTTGACATCAGCTGGATTCCGCACGGGGGCTGTAAAGCAATGGCACACAGTTAGGCCAAATTATTATCAGGTTAAATCAAGCACACACCTTGTCTCCCAAGACTGAGAAGCAGGCCGATTGTGGTGTTTCCTTCCGCACCATGCAATACCTCTACTACCCATCAAATTGAGAAACCTCTCTCTCATAGCATAGGCAACTCAAGAAGGCAATGGCAGAAACAGCACTCCGACTCAACTCTCTCTCATCCCAGCAATTGTGGGTACTCAACATGTGATGTCTGCATAGCTCACATTCTATCCCAGATAAAGGTAAAGGCTCCCCTTGACATTCTTAGTCCTGTCATGTCTGACTTTAGGGGGCGGTGCTCATCCCGTTTTCAAGCCGTAGAACCAGCGTTTGTCTGAAGACAGTTTCCGTGGTCACGTGGCCAGCGCGACTAGACACGGAACGCCTTTACCTTCCCACCGAGGTGGTACCTATTTATCTACTTGCATTTGCATACTTTCAAACTGCTAGGTTAGTGAGGAGCTGGGACAAAGCAACGGGAACTCACTCAGTCGTGTGGATTCAATCTTACGACTGCTGGTCTTCTGACCCTGCAGCACAGAAGCTTCTGCGGTTTAACCCGCAGCGCCACCACGTCCCTACATTCTACCCCAAGAAAAGCCAAATTCAACAGCTAGTGCAATGTGCACTAAGTAAGCAAAATATGCCTGGAATCCATCAGTTTGTGGAGGATTAGCCTGCTCAGTGGGAAGAGGGCACTAAACCTCTCATCCTTCAACTGCCTAAGATTCTGCTGAGCCTTCATTTCATGCCAGCACACTTCACAGTATATCTTCACAGCTATATAGGCTGGTAAGATACTTATTTCTAATGAACATTGAGATCTTCAGGCTGGTGTATGCTGCCCCAAGTATCAAATCCTATACTCCCCCTTTTTGTGTGTGCTTGTATGCAAATATAAAACACAAACAGCCTATCCTGCTCACTCAAAGTTCACTACCGCTTGCAATATTGCACTATCTGTGTTGGGGTTTCTACTCTTTCTCACTGCCCATGTATATACTTTTGGACAGGAATGAATGAACACACAAACACACCACTAGGGTGGGCCATTCTTTTTTATGTGGGGAAGGGACTACAAAACCCAGAGTTCTCTATTCTGGGAATTCCACCTAAGAGACAGACTCCTACATGTGGACCACCTGAGAAAAAGGCCTAAGCTGGAAGGCTTTGTTGTCTAGCCTAAGCCAAGCTCCTCCTAGCTTCCTGTTCAAAAAAGGAAACTTTCCAGATAGCACCATGGCAGCTACCTTTTTAAACAGGAAGTTAGGAAGAGTTAGAACTATGACCACAAAGACCTCCAGCTTAGGCCTTTTCCCCAAGTAAGCCACATTTTGGTGTCTGTTTAGTAGAACTCCCAGAACGAAAAATTTTGAGACTTGTAGTAAGAACAAAAACAAATGAATGGCGCATCCTTACATTTATTTAATTGCTCCTTACTGTTCCTAGAGATACAGTGGCCTACCTTTCTATAGGACATTCTGATGCCAATATCTTCCTTCTGATGCCCTACAACCTGTTTCAGTCTGCACTGTGAGCTTCTTTCTTACCTGCAGATTTTGTGATGTGACTGGCAGATGGTCTACTTAGCTCACTTTTCCCCTGGCTGTTCCTGGCCTGCACATAGAAAGTATAGTTCCTGAATGGAGCAAGGTGAAGTATAGCCCATGGTTGGTTTCCTGGTACCATGGTTAATTCTTGCATTTTTCCTGGCCCAAACTTGATTTCTTCATAAAATATGGTATACTCTGCAAGAAAAGCAAAATCAACAAAATGAAGCCACAATTTCCATGCTCTTTGATGAGAAAACTGACATAACTTACAGCAAAAAAGAATATATTTCCTGCACATGCTTAGAAGCATTAAATTTGGCAAGCCAGTCTGCCCATATCAGTAAAATGACAAATATGTGATATGCTTGTTAGTGGTGGAAGGAAGCGCTCCCCCATCCCCTTTTGTGGTGTGCCATATATATATATGACACCCCACAAAGGGGGAGCTTCCTACACTTATGTATATACATGTATGTACCTGATTTATATGACAATATCATTGTATACTGTATAGTGGATATGTGCAGGCAGAATGTTAGTGTGATTGATATTTGAATGATTGAATGCTGATAGGTTAGTGGGATTGGAATGTTTTAGGAAGAACTTGGTCTGTTTCCTGGATTGAGCAGGGAGTTGGACTTGATGGCCTTATAGGCCCTTTCCAACTTCACTATTCTATGATTCTATGAAGTTTAGTTTTGAATCAGAGAGTTAGATTTTAAAGTTTGAAAAGAATGGAAATCTTTTTGAGAGTCAGTTAGGAGAAGTAGTTTGTGTTAGGGTTTATTAAAAGAAGTCTAGTCTAGATTGCTTAGAGCAGTGGTCCTCAACCTTTTTGACACCGCGGACCAGTTGGGGGAGGAACAGGGTCTGTGTGCAGGGAAGGCTGGGCATTCCCCCATGTTCGCGCATATGCATGAAGGGGTGGGGGCACTTGCATGGGCAGGCATGCACTCATACATATGTGCAAAGGGCCGGGGGTGCTCGGGGGCACTCGCACAGGTGCACACACACTCACATGCATGCACAGAGGGGTGGGGGCACTTGTGTTGGTGTGTGCGCATGAGCAAAGGGGCAGGGATGTGGGGTCACTCGTGCACTTGCGCAGGTGTGCGAAGGGGCTGTGGAGGGGAGTGCATGCGGGGGTGGGTGGGCAAACTGTCTCTGCGGCCCAGTCCAGCCCAGGCCACGGACTGGCACTAGGCCACAGACCGGGGGTTGGGGACCCCTGGCTTAGAGGGTGTGTGTCAGAAAGACTGAGAGTGTTTAATGAAGTTATTTTAATCTTTAAATACAGAAAAATACACATATGTTTTACCATTGTTCAACCTTTATTATTCAAATCCTAGAACCAACCTTTCCCTTCATATCAATTACTGGTGGTCCCTCAATAAAATCCTTTTTGAATATTTAAATCAAATTCCTCATTATTTATTTTATGTGTAACTAAGAAGTAAAGCAGAGTGAACACTATAAACAGTTAAGAATACACCTACATCAAGTAAAGCTACATTTTACCTGCAAGAATTAAGTGATTAATCTAAAAGAGATAACCCCTTTCACTAAATGACTGAATAATCTAAGACACTAGTTTGGAGAAAGGAAAGTCAAGCTGGGGCAGAATAGAAGGAGCAACCAACAAAATACTTGGTTACATCCTTTTCAAGTTACCTTTCTGGTTACCTCCTACATTGCTTACACTAAGGAGTGGTGACTCGGTTTAAGACATTCAATGTTGCCGGGGGGGGGCTACAAATACCTTAACAATGTGTGATCTGCTAGTGTGAATAAAAAGTAATCACCTACTCGGGGAGTAAGGTCGGAGCAACTACAATCCTCCCATTTGTAAGCATAGAAAAGAAAGCCAAGCATGTTCCTCCTACATCACTGACACTTTTATTGTGATATTCTCCACCACACAAACACTATGACAGGAAATGTTCTAAGAAAATGGATGTTTTTACACCGGTTGCATGTTTTTATGCTAGCTGATGATCTTTTAAGCATTACTATCAAAGTGCACTTTAAAAAAAATGTTAGTTAATTTTAATCATATAGATGGTCACCATATTTTCATACCACTTCTCAAGCTAAATCCTGACCTATTTTACTCTTCTGCTGTCCTTAACTCTTGTTGTTCATGAGTAGTGTTACTGTTCAGGTTTTTCTTTAGCCTGCTGTTTATTTGTTTTTCCAAGTCTCTCCTGGCCATAAAATTCACAAGTTTGGGCCTCTCCCTCAGCCTGACTTACTGTACCTCAGAGGTTGCTGTGATGATACAAAGGGGAAGACATGAGCCAAGTATGCAGACTTGAGCTCATTAGAGCAAAGGCATAATATAAGTTTAAGTTGATAACAGTAACAACCATCACCACCTTTTTGTCTAAGAAAGGGCCACGGGCCACTGTTTGTTTGTTTTTTTACCTTCAATATGCCGGTTGTGATCATCACCTGGTGTCCATGTCAGCTTCACCTGATGATCTTGCTGCCTCAACAGTTCCAAATTGGACACAGGGCCAGGTTTGCCTGGCAGAAGGACAATAATGTCAGCCAAATGAGAACTTCTCCATCCCCTCAGAGGGGAAAAGCCAAGGCTCTTCTGCCAAAAACCTTTGGCATTTCCCCTCAGACATTTTAGAACTCACGTTGGAAATTCCAAATTGCAAACTTAGTACCTCCCCATCCTACAGTGGTCTACAGGCTAAAGCACTTGCTGGTGAATTAATTATTTGTAGTCTGAGAAACTAATAGACAACATTTAAATAAAGTTTGCTATCCAACAGAGTTTTGTATTTAAACTGAAGGAACAATAACATATATTGAACTCAAGTTGTTCAAAGAAGCTATCCTTAGTATTTTAACCCTAGTTATCATTCCACACCCGAAACAAATTCACCTCAAACCAGAGAAACAGCCCTAACTTGTATGCGTAGCCCTTAAAATTTGCCTCTGCTAATTTACTACTAAGTTAATTTCAGTGATGCTGAACTAAATTCTCAAATAAATAACTGAAGTGCAATTCTTGGCCGTTTAACACATGCAGCCCTAATTATGAAAAACTGGTCAGCCTTTAACAGTGCGCCTAAATTCAATCCCCATGACAGGTGCCTCAAGTACCACCCCCTTGACTTCTAGCTGGCCTAAATTCTGATCACAAGAGGGAAAGAGTACATATTTTATTTCTCTTTTTTCTTCTTCTCCTTTTTTTTCGGGGTGGGGTGGGGGTTACTTGCCATACACCAAAAGCTTGGCACTTTTCTCCACAGAATCAAGACTTGTCCAAGCCAGGCAGCTATATAACCCTTCATCAGCGTAGTCTAGGTTGATGACTGTCAGAGATGTTTCATCGATTAAGTATCTAGGGATAAGAACAATGGATGAAGTATATGTGACACACATTTTTTCCAAATTACAATCTTTCATGTAAAAATACCTAGCCCACTCGACTCACTTTTTATTCCCCTCTGAGCTATCCTGAAGGGGCCGCCCATTTAGGCGCCACTGGGTACCACGCTCTGGAATGGTCTCATCGAACACCGCCTTACAGCGGAATGTGACACTCTCACCTTTCTTTGCCTCAGTGTTGGTAGGCAACACCTCAAACCTTGTGGCTCCTAGAACAAGGGACAGAAGAGTAAGGAGGTGTATCTTCTTAATATGCTTTTCCACCAGACTTTCAAGAAAGACACTTCTACCAATTAAGCCTGCCATAAATTTCACTTATATTGCCCAGTCTTTCCCACTTTATTCCAGTGTGGCTGAAGGTCTTCCCTCTAAAACCAGCTGTCATGGCCACTCTAAGACAGTTTGAGGCCAGAAGTAGAATACCAGAAAAAACAGCCTTACGCCCACTTCAATAAATTAAGAGGAGCTACAATCCACTGAGAGGTTATCTTGCACCCAATTCACGCTGAAATGAAGCAAACAAACGCCTCTGTCGTTCTTTTGGTTTTCGTGGCACCTATATAATCCAGAGCTCTCAAGCAGCCATTTTACATGTCCCTGATTGCAGATGCTATCAGTAATCTTGAAATTATCTCAAAGGTTTTATTGTCCATCTAAAGAGATTATTTTTAGGTAATCCTCAACTCTGGGCAAAACACAATTTTAAAGTCAGTGTACACAGTTAGATCATTTAAACATAGATAATAAACTAAAACACACTGTCACCATCACAATCCCTGTGGAGAAGCAAGAGGTTAGTTACCAGAATGTGAACCTACTATGTCCACCCTACAGGAAATGGTTAGGGTGGAGTGGAGTGGAATCAGATCAACCTTTTGATTTAATGGTGAGGGGATAGAATTTTGGCATTATTTATTATATCCACTTGATCTCTCAGAAGCCACTGTCAGTGCAGCTGTTAACAAAAGGCTATAGGAGCTGTAATCCTAAGCACCTGGAGAGGAAAAGTTCCTCACCTCTGCTGTGGGACAACTGCTTAGACTGCAGAAGGGGGACATAATCACACCTATTTTCCAACCTCACCAAATTGTACTAGCTCATTTTCTTCCCATCATATCTTACTCTGTCTTAGGGCTACTATTTCCCACCAGGTCTCTGTTTGGTTTCTTCTATATCTGCTACAATGCCAGGTACATGCTGGGAAACCCACTCCTACCTTTGACAATAAGGTGAGCTGTGATGGAGTCATTGCTAAAATCATTTTCAGCCACACACGTGAAGTTCCCAGCATCCTTGCGCTGGACTTGCTCAAGCAGTAGGGTCCCATTGGTGAACGGAATACTCCGGACATCGTCTAGGACGTACTTGTCTTCCAGAAACCTGGGGAAGAGAAGATTGACTGTATTTTGGGAAAGACAAAGCTCTCTGTCATCCATACGTCTTTTTAAAGCAAAGCTGCCATCTCTTTAAAAACAACAACCGGTGAGTTAGAATTTTAAGATTTAAACGACATGCTAAATCCAATAAATAAAGCTTCCTTCTACCCCAGCACAGCAACTTAGTACCATGTAAACATGTCCGCTGTGACCCCTATGGTGGTTGATCCTTTAAGGCACATGCCCCCCCCCCCGCTCAGGCTAACTGAGAGGCAGAGGGTCAGGGTAAGGATGTGAATCTTCCTGCTTCTTGCTCTTACTGGGTACAGTAATGGGGGGGAATACAGTTTTCTTCTCAGCCCAAATAATTCCTTGCAACGAGATCATCCATGTAAAATATGTCTGGAAATCTCACGGACTTACAGGCAATCCTGGAGAGTATTCTGAAAGTGCATAAACATTGAAAGTGCCCATCATTTGCTTCCTCTCAAGCGTAGAGCTCCACCAGTGTTCCTCTTCTGCTAAATTCCCACTTTTACACTGGTGAGGAACCAAACCTTAAGTGTCTGTCTGTCTTTTGCCCTTGGTTCTATGTCTCCACCAACGAAATGGGTGCCAGCCACCACTTCTGTCATCTTATGTATGCTCTGTAGCTATTAAAGTTCCCAACGTGTTTAAGGGGGAAAGTATGAGAAGATATCTATCTGGAAGCCCTTCAGATTGAGACAAGCACGTCTACTTGCCTGACATGCTTCAGAGTATTCCCTTCTCACTTACTTTTTTTCCCTTCACGCTTCACGCAATGGCAAGAAAGCTAGTAGAAAAGGGTTAACAAGCTGTTAGTGAGCTGAGTGGCTCTTTCCGTGAGAACTCCTCCGTAACAGTTAACAAACTGTTAAACCTTTTCTGCTACGTTGCCTTTCTCTCTGGCCAGTGTGCTCTGTCACCCTGACAGGACCCCTTTTTCAGAAGAAACACAATCAGGATTTTGCCCTCTTAATCTCTTGCATGAGCCTGAAAGTGCAAGGCTGGGGGGAAAAGAAAATTAAGATGCGCTGTCTATGCTATAAGTGCACACGTGGAAGCTATTATTGCTCATTCCCTAAGCATTAAGGCACTACAAATACGGAAGCCTTTGCCATTCACTGATGATAGCAAAGCGACATCACCCAGTGACATTCATGCCCCGTGTCCTTTGGTATACAAAAGGTGACATGCAAATGCTTTCACAGCAGCCCAAGACAAATGGAACAGAAAATAACAGCAAGCTCACCATTTCACCGTGGGCCTAGGGACCCCAAACACCTCACAGTCCAGGATGGCTCTCTGGCTCTCTACCACACTGTATTCTATCCCATCTGGGGTCATGATCTGTGCTGGCAGCTCTGGAGAAAATCAAAGAGGTCAATGTACGCACAGAAGGGAGTGAGCTAAACAAATACTGTGGTTCATCTCAGCTCTAGCCCCATAGTCAGGATGCTGGTGAGGGACGGGTGGGCTGTAAATCCGTGAAACAGCCAAAAAGGGAGAGCAAAAGAAGACATCATTTCATTCATTTAATGATCAGCACTGTAAATTATTTGTGTAAAACGGCACTTCACTTTAATTAGTTTCTTTTAATGCTAAGTGCTAGTCAAAGCAAACACAAGATGATTTCAGATGGGGCTTTTACTACACCATTACCCTGCTTTATAATTGTTGAATATTATGGGGGCTTCATATGACATCATCTGCCATTTGTGACCTTCTCTTCTTTTCCCCCCAACTCTCCCTTGTTTTAATTCTGTTTTTCTTCTTACTTTGGAAAATCTATCAGAGAGGAGAGCATACCAGCCAAGTGCCTTCAGATTGTTAGTTGATAACCCTTGTCAAGCCTTCATATTTTCCTAATATCTCAGGCATTAAATGGGATGAAGATATGGTCAGAAATTAAAGCCCCCCCCCAGGACTCCTCTTCTTAACCCTGAACCCCCACTCGGAGATCTTCCTCTCTCCAATGCCAGCCTAGAAGAAAAAGAGGTGTGGTGCACTGTGGCATATATGGAAAGAGAAACTACAGTAGACAGCTTTCACTCCCTTCTCTGAATAGCTCTCTAGGTTATGAGAGGTGCAGAACTCTTCAAAACAGAGGAAAAGTTCCACCACCACTTTGCTTTCTGTTCCAAAAAAAAGTGGAACTTCCCAGGATCTGCATGTAAACTTCAGTTTTAAAAGCATTCTCAGGACATTGTTTCTCCACAGTCAATCCTAGCAACCCTTTAAGACTTAAGTAGGAAATCCTTCTCCTACTAGAAATCCTGTTGCCAACCTCATTTTTGTTAGTTTATTTTTGTTTTTGTTTTCCTGGCAATCTGAAATTCACTGAAAGCTTCTGACCAGAAATGTCTGAGTGTGGAAATGATCAACTTCAGAGGAAGTGCCATAGCGCTGAACTTTGCCTTCATGGAACACATCCCAGAACAAAATTAATCACGCTTCCAGGAGGGGACAAAATGCAAGAAAAGGCATAGCTTTTTGTCACTGTTGTTATCAAAATGAGCTTTATGGATGAGGGGGGAACACCGCTAATATCAGTGACAAAAATAAGGTACATTATGGGGAATGAATGATCTATTTGGAAGAGTCATTCATTAAAATGCAAAGTAAATATTCAGAGAATGAGGGAAGAATGCATGATGGAAGCCTTTGAAGGTTCTGTGTCATGTGTGAATGATGGAGGCATTGGGGCAGTGAGCCCTTCACAGGCTTGAAAGCCCAGATTTTTAAATCTCTGAAGTGGACCAGCCCCACTCTCGTCCAGAGCTTTGAACCCCTTTATAGCAATTATTTTTGCACCAGCTAAGCTATAACTAAGGTACACTACGGTTATTCCATGATGGAAGCCTTTGAAGGTTCTGTGTCATGTGTGAATGATGGAGGCATTGGGGCAGTGAGCCCTTCACAGGCTTGAAAGCCCAGATTTTTAAATCTCTGAAGTGGACCAGCCCCACTCTCGTCCAGAGCTTTGAACCCCTTTATAGCAATTATTTTTGCACCAGCTAAGCTATAACTGAGGTACACTACGGTTATTCCGTAGGGAGAAGATTTAAATGACATTTCACATTTTCTCTGAAACCTACATTTGAACCCATAAGCAAGTTCAAACATATTTATGAGTAATCTGGCCTTTCTCAGAAGATTACTCATAAGCATGTTGAAACTCACCCATAAGCTCAAACACAAGTTGAAGAAAAAAAATATGACATGTCCTCTCCCTAGTTATAAAATTATTTCACTCCTTATGTGGTTGCAACTGTAACTTTTAACCTTACTTTTATAGTTACTGGTTATGGCCTTGTCACTTCAATGTGTTTTGCTTCAGATCCCAGCAGCCTGTAGCATCCCAGTCTTGTTTTTAAAGTCAAACTTTAGTTACTTTTTCATAACAAGAAAGCACAAGAATACTTCAGAAATTTGTAACAATAAGGGTAACTGCTGAGAGGCTTACAGCCCAAACTGTAACCACTTACTTTTACAAAATAACTTTCTAAACTCCACTCTGATCTACATAGAGAAGCACATACTTACGGACAACAAAGACGTATGCATTAATCAGGATGCTGCCATGTTTGTTATGGGCCTCACACTGGATCACAGCTGTATCGTTTGGCTGCACCTCAGTGAGGATCAAAGCTCCTGGCTCCACCCTCCTTCTGGGATCCGGCATCAGTTCTGAAACACAGCAAAGAGGTGAGACATAGGAAGGGAAGTATGATGCCATCACCCCGATGGTTGACCAACGTTCCCCACTGTCCCAGTCACTTACCATCTAGTGGTTCTCCATTTATTCTCCACGAAACCTCTGGTTCAGGTTTCCCTTCAACCTCACAATCCAGACGTACAGTCGACCCTGGTGCATACATCTGGCTTACAGGCCACTTAATCCAGTATGGAGCAGCTGAAAAAAGACATCTGGGTGAAGGTGGTAACTCTTACGACTGATCTACAACCTTACTACTCATGCCACAAAGATTCTAATCCTCTTCCTCAGTTCCAGCCTACTTAGTTATGCCCACCCACAGTGTAGGAAAGTTACTTTTTTTAGATTACAGCTACAGTATACAGTGGACCCTCTGCTTAAGGAATTAATCCGTATTGGAATGGTGGCTGCAAGTCGAAAAGTCTGTAATTCGAATCTCCATTGACCTACAATGCACTGAAAACCGATTAATCCCATAACCAGTGGTTTTTATTGTATTTTTATTCCATTTTGGGTTTTTTTCTGGTCTGTAAGTCGATTCTCTGGCTGCAAGTCGAATCTAAATTTTGCAGCCAGAGAAGTCTGTAACTCGAAAAGTCTGTAAGTCGAGCCGTCTGTAAGTCGAGGGTCCACTGTAACAGTACATTACTAGCCATGTTGAATGGAGGGATTCTGGAATTTGTCATCCAAAAGTGTAGGAAAGTTACTTTTTTTAGATTACAACTACAGTATAATAGTACATTACTAGCCATGTTGAATGGAGGGATTCTGGAATTTGTCATCCAAATAATAATAATAATAATAAAACATTCAAGCTGCAATTGCTTGTTACTGTTTAGTTACTTTCCCATTAAAACCTACCAACCTAAAAAGCAAAACCCTTCTTTAAGCCCTCATTGTCACCTAATGAAACAAAAACTAAGGAATTTAGGAGACAGTTTCTATTTATTTGCTTGCTTGCTTGTTCACTTGTGAGGTTCAAAACCCTTATTTCTTCTGCTCAAGTCTGAAATACTTTGAACTTCCATATCACTGTGCTCATGTTCACTAATCTTTCCTTTCTCCTGCCTCCCATTCAATCTGTCCACTGCTGTCTCTCCACCATCACATTTTCGATTATTAGCTCTTGGGACAGGGATCTCTTTCATTCAATTAAATCCTAAATTATTGTGTAGATTTGCAAATATTGTAATAATCACCATACTCATATTAGGAACAACCCTGCCAAAACTGAGCACTTAAATAAATTTCAAAGGGGGAAATGAAGCACAATATATTTACTTTTCCCCCAATCAAATAAAAAGAGTTTTCAAGTGCTAATTCATCTGGAGTGTGCCCAGTGTGTCTAGTCAAGCTTATGTTCTGCTTATTTATATGTGGTCAGAATTTCAGTTATACCTCATTTTTCATTTTAGGTATTCACAGAATATTGATCTGTCAAAAATGTTGTGGTGGGGTGGGATCTTATCCCATCCATGTTGTCATTTTGCTTAGGAGGTTAATTTTCCATTGAGAATAAAGGTTGGCAGCAGAACTGTAATTGGAAGTGGATGTAATATTTCAAGGAGGACATTTACAATCTGTAAAACTGCAGGCACTCCTCCAGTTTTCATCTGTGAATTCATGGTTGGGATACTCGCCAAGTGCCTGGCTACTCCTTCTAAGATGGTTTGCTTTACCCCCAAGGTGATCTCCAGCAGCCAAAAAGTATTATGAATTTTTTTGGTCTGGGTTTTTATTATTGATTATTTGTGGGATAGCCTCGTTAGGAGAGCCCTGGGGGTAGCAGAATAGCTACAGCAGTGTCTCCTGTAGGCATTTAAACCCACTTCCATTCTCTGTAATCACGAGCAATACACCACTGAGCTTAATGTAAGTTAAAAAAATCCTAAGATTCATTGAGAAAACGTATTGACAGGAAAGCCTAATTCCTAATCTAAATAAGTGATCATGTGCTAGGCCAAGCCAGCCCCACTTCCAGAGAGACATTAACAGGTTGAAAGGGAGGAGAAAACTACTGTATCTCAAAGAGATAGTTTGTTATTGTTTTTTTTTGAGGGAGGGCAACAGAAGGTGAAGAAACTGCAAAGAAAAAAGACAAGCACAAATTGCTCTATTCTCAGACGCTCCTGTTGGACATTTATGACAGGTCGGTGCAAAGAAACTGTTCCAAAAGATTCTTTCAGCAAAAAGCTGGCTGCTGAATTACTGGAAAGCTACTAGCCCTTATATAACACTGGGGATGAGTATTACTGAGTGCAAGACAATAAATTATTTTTTAGATAAACAAAAGTTTAGGGGGGAAAAAACCTAGGTTTCCATCCTCCAATATTTTAGGTTAGAATTCCTTGAGATGTGTTGAATTACAGTTCACATTGTCTTCTATCACACAACTAGAAAGTTTTAAGTAGAGCAGTAATCTGTACCAAGCATTATTAGGAAGAACAATGGAGATGGATAGCAGCTCCATGCTCCTCCTGACACCTGGCCCCACCCTCACCTTCTTCTTGGAAGAGGCACATTGAGGAAGCATCAGAATGCTTGGAGTGAAGAAGAGATGTATGAGGATACATCTTGGCATGAATGGGAATTTTTCTCCCAAGGCTAAGAGCAGGTTTTGGACATGGTTTTCCCTGGGACTATAGCAGTGGAAGAAAGGGCCAAACCCCACCGGTCCACCCAGGCCATGGGAAGGAAAACCGAACAAAAAAGGCAAATCTATGTTTGACATCATATCTAGTTTAGACCTGAACTGAAATGAGATTTTCAACATACTTGGGCTAGAGCAGCCTTCATCAACTTAGAGCCATCCAGCTGTTTTGGCCTACAGCTCCCAGGATTCCTAAATATTAGCTCTGCTGGCTGGGACCGATAGGAGGTGAATATCTAGAGGTCAGTGGCTTTGAGAGGGCTCAAAATTTCTCTTACAATTTTGTTTAAAACAATTTGATCCTGAAAAGCAGGCTTTTCAGCCTTGCTGGATGTCTTCTTTTGCACTACTGAAATCTAAAATAAAAAAACATCTGGTTGTTTCCAACTAAGAATGTCCCCCCCCCATGCCCCCCACATTCCCAAGCTCCTCCATGCCCAAGCTTGGCTAACACTCCTTATCCTCCCAGCAGCCTAGCATTATAATGGTGGGTATACCCTCAACATTAACAGTGTAGGTGTGGCGGACAGTGCCGTGGTCGTTGTGAGCGATGCACTGATATTCTCCATCATCATCCTCTGTCACATTTAGGATGCGAAGGGTTTTGTTCCAGTTCTCAAAGGCCACCTGAGGAGAAAGCTTCAGCTTGTTCATATGGGCCCATTCTACAGTTGGCGTAGGGCTGCAGTAGGGAGGAAAGACAGGGAAAAATGTGTGGGTAAAAATTGGTGACTGACTCTGCTATGGGACACCAAAAGCTACGTCACAGATCCTGCCCCACCAATCCCTCAACCCTTCTGGTCCATATCACTGGATGTGAGACTACAGTGTTCAACTGCTCATCAGAAAACCTTGACTAAAAACATGTTGATTGGCTAAAAAGGCAGAACATTTAATTTTTTTTAAAAAAACAAAGAATTTACAAAACCACAAATGGCATTAGAAGAGGCATCTCTTCTATAAAACAGAAGGGAGAATGCCTCTTCTGTGACAATGTCTACAGTGAAATAAGTGTCCACAATCTTTTTAAAAGCTCCCAAAATGTCCATCCTTATTTAAAATTTGTTCAACTGAACACAAACTGAAACAGCTGCATTCTTTCCTATCAAAATCATTGAGATAATGGCTGAAATCCTGTTGTTTAGTGTAGTAAGTTGCAATTAGAGTAGGCCCATTGAGTCAATGGGGATTTGGTGAATCAACTCTTCTGTACATTCAGTTGATTTAATGGTCCAACTCTGGTTGTGACTTACTCTGCCAAACAAAAGGATTTCAGCCATTAAGTCATAATTTACTTTCGCTTCTAATTTCAATGGGACAAAATTCAACTAATTTGTAGTGAAAGGCCTAACACATCTGGAAGCAAGTCCCATTCAGTCTATGGGTGTATACTTCTGAGTGTACAGACAGACACATGAATACACTGCATGGATCTCACCTACTGTATTTCTCTCATATGCAAATGTTATCAATTGATTAATAAGATATGTAATTTGTTAAAACTCATACCAGTATATTAACAAAGATTTCCTGAAGTCGGTGAGAGTTTTAACAGAGAACTGTCATTCCTAATAATGAATAGTTAACTCACTATGAGATTTTTGCAATCTACACAGTAAGAGCTATAAATAAAACTTAGCTAAAAACAGACAATTCACTACAAAGATACCTGCACTCAGGTAGTCTCACTCTGACGTTTCTACTTCTATTTGCCACACACCCAGTGAATCCATTTCCATTTACCTGGGTTAAAAGAAAATCCCAACTCCCACATACCATCTAACACTCCTCTTGCTAAAATCAGTCAGAACTGTCCTATGACATGAGATAGAAAATGTCCCCTTCTCTGCTCACTCATTTCTATGGGACGGTCACCCACTGGAATGTAACCTGGCTTCCGAAAATGTCCATGGAAGTTTTGTGTGAAGCACTGCTGGGGGACTAATGAACCCCCCACTTACAGTGTCATCACACAGTCATGTTGTTCCCAATTTGGACCACTTCAGACATGGTGTGGTGCAATGTATTTCTAAGTCATGTTGTTCCCAATTTGGACCACTTCTGACATGGTGTGGAGACCAGAAGACATACAGGGAATAGTGGTCCAGCCGGACTCCAATCTGTGCCCAAGATGGATCTTTTTGGCCTAGCAATAGAGCTACTATTTTTTTGGAGCTATACTGGAGCAATTCTTCAATGGGTAAATCTGTGCCCAAGATGGATCTTTTTGGCCCAGCAATAAAGCTACTATTTTTTTTTTTTTTGGAGCTATACCGGAGCAATTCTTCAATGGGTGGAAAGGTCACTTTAAGGGAGATCACTCCTGGCAAAGCAATCAGACATGCTCCTTTCTCGCCATCTGATCAGACCCTTAGCTGATCACTTGAGGACAACAATATCCACCAAAGTGAAGCAGCTACTTTATGTAGCTTCACAGCAAAGCCACCGACGTGCAACAAAAGAAATCTTAGTTAATTGCACAAATTTGAGCTGGTCAATATACCAATTTGCCAGGAAAAGCTGAAGGCAACAGGAAAAGTGGAGGAACAAGTATGAGACGGATTGCCTCCATAAAGGAAGCAGACACAGAGACATTGTCCCTTGTGCTTCTAGGCACATGCCACTCACACCAAGCTTGGCCACAACAGTTTGGAAGGAACACAAGGTTAGAAAAAGCAGAAGCACATATGTTACAGATGAATTACAGACTAACTGGTAAGAAAGGACGATTGAGAAACTGAACTCATTAAATGGATACCGGCAGGCTTGAAAAGAGACCCTGACTTCCCTGCCTGCAGCAAGTGAGTTGAGTGAACAGGCTCTGAGCAACTAGATAGGAACCATCTGTAAGTTTTGAAAAACAGTGACAGTGCCTAAACTAAGAAAGAAACAGGCGAGTGCTGGGAACATCTGTTGAAAATAATGAGTGGGGGATTAAAGAGGAAGGCACATTTTGATGTGATTCTCAGTTGCTCTACAGAAGTCACCGCTATGGAGGGCAAAAAAAATGTGGATATAATACTGACTTTGAAAAATGGCAAAAACTGTGGTCTAGAAACTATAAATTGACAATAGTAACATCTTATAAAGAGAATTTATATAAAATGTTTTATAGATGGCATTTACCACCCGATAGATTAGCTAAAATGTACCCTAATAGATCAAGTAAATGCTGGAAATGTCATTAAAAACTGGAACATATTATCACCTTTGATGGATAAAGCAAAAAAAAATTTTGGAAAAAAATACATATATGGCTTGTTAAAATAATAATAAAAAAACCACATGTAGATTTTAAGCCAGTACTCTTTCTATTAGGTTTAATACCAGAAAGTGTTAATAAACAAAATGTATTTTTAATACTGCATATTTTAACAGCCGCAAGGATTATATTCACACAATACTGAAATGGAATGAAGAAACGCTTACAGATCAAGAAATAATTAAAAAGATATTGGACTGCACTGAAATGGATAGACTGACACTGAAAATAAAAGGAAAGGAAGATGCACATCGAACTTGTGTTATCAACGGTTATAAGCACATTATATAGAATAAGAGTGTAATATGTATTGTAGTTGTATTAACAAATGATTATAAGCTCAACCCACGTGACACAATGTTAAATAAACATGGATGGATTTTATAAAAAAGAATAATAATAAAAAGAAAATTTAAAAAAGAGAAGTCGTCACTGCTATGGTAAGGTATTTATTAGCTGAATGAATCTCCACTTATTCAAACAAATTCATTCAGTATACGAGGTATATCAAGAAAGCCAGAGGCTGCAGAATTATGCACTATGTCTCAAACGCAGGGAACTTTTGGCCTGCCTGATGTTTTAGACTACAGCTGCCACACTCCCTTTCTGGTTAGCTGTATGGAATACACCTACATAAGAGGGGATACATGGATGTGCACACGTGTACATGCATACACACACACACACACACAGATACACACACACACACACACACACACACACACACACACACGCTTGCTTGCTTGCTTGCATTGCTCTGCAGCCACACCTTTTCTTGTTGGAAAAAAAGCCCTCCTTTCAAAGAACTTACAGCCCAGCCACAATGCATTCCAGGACCAGGGACTGGCCCAGCAGCGCCTCGTATGTACTGTGCTTCTCATTCGGCACAATTAGGATAGGCTTCTGGTGAGAGAAAGTGTTAGCTGTGGAAGAAATAGAAAGGAAGGGATGAGCGCGAACAGGCAGAGAGCAATGAACAGAGTTCTGAGCCCACCTCCAGATAGCAGGGATACTACAACTTGCCATGGCCCTTGCCATAAAGCTGCTGCAATGGCAGCTTCTTCCCCAGGGAGTCCAGGTTGGTTATCAACTGTGGAAGAGGCTGTAAAACTCAGCACCTAGAAAAATTGCTTTGGTCAGTGCCTGGTTAGCTCGGCCAATGGAGAATCTGTCCTTTTGCACCAGCAAGGAATTCATTTGTGGTCCCAGTGAGGTTCGTCTGGGGACAGACATCTCTATTTGCAACCCATTTAACCCAGCTCTCCCACCATTCATATGTGCTGGATTTAGTCCTCTTGTCACCTCTAACCAGGAGGGGATTATGGGAGTTGTAGCCCAACGCCTCCAAACAGTATCAGACTGGGAAAGAGCTGCTTTCATATTTCCACCCACTCGTATACTTCCCATTTCTGTGTTTTTCACAAAAAGCCAGCTAAAGTGACTATGAAGCTGTATTTTAAAAAATGTAGAGTTCAAAAATTTCTCAGAATGAATGAGGCATTTTCCCCCATTTCACTTTTTGAAACCTAATTGTACTGGAGACGGTTTTTAAACAAACACAGAAATGTTAAAACTTCAATTCTTATCAATCCCTTTTAAGGATAAATGGATGGGCAGCCCCTCTCTCATATTTCTTGAGGGTACTTTCAGACAGGAGTGCCATGTGGAAAGGCAGAGGAGAAAAAACATAGATGTCTTTTCACAAGTATCTGCTCCTCTGTTGCTCCCACCAATCTCCTGTTGTATTTTTTATTTGTTTTACTATAAAACTGTAAATTATCTTGAATGACTTAGTGAAATGGCAGTGTCCAAATTCAGTCAGAAGTAAAAGAAATCTACCGGTTTGCAACTAGTTTATTTCCCCCCCCCTCCAGGAAAAATGCAGGTCATAACTGATTTTTAAAATTGAGAAAATGTGATATTCAAACTATGTCAACACTCCTGACATTCGATTTCAGCTTTATTCCCTCTTTTTTCAGGGTGAGCAACCTCCAGAGGTCCAAGGTCTGTCTATGCCCACTCTTGGACCTTCTAGGGCTCTACACCTGCTCCTACTCCCCCACATATTTTCCTTTGAAAATACCTTTTTATTATACTAAAAAAGCCTCCTCATGCCCTCTAATAGCTGATTTTTTAAAAATAAATTTACAAACATAGAGATGTGGGGCAGGGAGGAAATGCCTGACACTCCTCTCCCTCTCAAGGTACAAAGGAACATTTTGAGGTCATTTTTTAAAAATAACTTAAAATTGGGGGCAGGGGGTCACATTTAACCCCTAAAAGTCATGTGTGACTTGCAAAAAGCAGCTTACCCTCCACACATGTTAACACAGAGAGATGAAGATGCTGTTATTTACACCATTAGTTAGGGATTATCCTTTCCCTTTCCCCTTCCAATCTCTTCTCTCGAGTCGATACAAAATGTCTCAGAGTCCTAAAGCAATGTCATCTCCTCTATTGTTAAATTATCTCAGTTTTTTTCTTTGCGTTTCCACTCTGACTCCCATTTTTGTTCTGTATCAAACGGCAGTTCCCTTATCCTCTTATGTTTCTAATTCTTAGAGCTACACTTCTCCACTGGCTCCACTCCTCCCTGGCTATGGACCAATATGTACAATATCAGGAGTGAAGCGTGGGAAAGAGATGACTTTCCCACTACAGGAATGGCCATTGAATACTGCCTTCCTTGTTGGGTAGCAATTGGTTAAGGAGGAAGATGTCATGTTGTTGGTCTTATGGGGGACTGTTGTCTGACCTGGCTCACAGTAAGAGATGGGGAATACTACAAGCCCCTGAATCCACAATCTGCCTGGCCAGTGTCAGGGTATTCCTGCAATTGTTATTGGGTTTTTTTAAAAGTATTTTCTACCATCTCTGCTCTGCATCTCTTCTTTGTGTCTCCAACTTCTGTCACATTATCCTTATTGTATCTAAAAGCCCTCCCAACAAAACATTCCTCTTTGTCCCAAAGAAATTCTCCACTGCCACAACATTTTCCTTAAAACTCTCCTCCCTTCCATGTTCAACTTTTTGCCACACCCTATCATCTCATCTTTATCCTGCCCAGGTGCTCTTGGATAATATCAAATTAGGCCACAAAATATGAATACTGAAACATTTAAGAACATGAATAGAGGTATTGTACATATATAAGACATCAGAGATCAGGTGTGGGATGTCAAATGGCAACAGTAGGAATCAAAATACTGAATTCTGAATTGCTCACAAGATAGCCCAGGCCAAAATCTCAAGTAATGGGATCTGAGAAAATATGGATGATTTCTGTTCCTAATCTATATTTTATACATGCCTCTGTTCACACTGTAAGAGCACTCCCTTCCACAACCCAAGACACAATCACCAAAGAACTCAACCTCGCTTTAGATATGGAGGTACACCCTGGGTAGTCAGGGTGGAATAGTGGCCGATACATCTCTGGGGCAATGAGCTGTTTTCTCATGTCATAACCCTTTTGCCCTCCAAAATACAAACTGTGTGGAAAGCTTACTGGGTTTGACTTTCAGCTCAATGGGCTCCTTCTGGATGATGACTCGGGGTCCTTGGAAGTGGGCGTTGCAAATATAGTCTGGTTGGCTGTCTGTCATCTGCACATTGGCAAAATAAAGATTCCCATCTTGGCCCATGGTGACTCGTTCATCCTGAACAATGTGCTCAATTTCTACACGGAGGGAGAGGAAAGGAGAAAGAGTAGAGAGATGCCATGGGTTAGTCAATGGCTTCTTCCAACCAAGTAAGTCAACAGTGCAGAAAATAAAACATCTTCCACTCCCTGCAAGTCATTTAAGTCACTTCATCATGGTATTGCAAGCAGGCAGGCATCGGCACATTGCAAGGGTCTGTCTCTACATCCCCCTGGATCTCAGCAATTCACAAAGGCTTGGTCCAAATTAAATTTATTAAATTGGATAAATTTGTCCATAAGGTACCACAAGTAGTTTTGGAAAAGCTTGAAAGGTTACTTTTTAAAAGTAATGTGTTCCTCTTACTCACTGCTGTTCTGCCTTTAAGGGATTTGATGACCTTGCTCATGAAAACTTTTGAAAATGATATTACTTGTTACTTCTCCATTACTTTAAAAATTAGAATTGATAAGAGTTGCATGAAAATTCCTACTTAAAATGCTTTTTAAATGTGCCAAAATGCCAGACTAGGAAGACACTGGAGCATAGATGGGTCCAAATTCATTTGGGCTCTGGCAATGAAATTTGTCAGTGCTGTGCCACATGTACTGTGCATGCACTCCCCCCACCCTCCAGACCAGCTGGGCCATTTACCTTGCATTGTGCACTGCCAGGGTCCTTCCTAAGGTAGGCATCTTCCCCATTGACTAAACCATGCATGTTACATTTTTTTAATTGCACCACTTGGATTTATGAGCAGGTGAACAGTAATTGTTCTGCTGAGCTTCAGGTTTCAGTGAGGAGGGAGAATTGGGAAATGGGGGCGGTATCTTGAGTTACAGATAATTGTGCCATGAGGGGTTACTTCTCAAGCCCCATCTCCTCACATACATAATTGTTTATTGCCTCCAAGGTGTGTTTTGTTAATGGAGGTGCAGGGCACAATGTCACTGTTCTCAACATTCATACACCCCACCTTTACAAGTGGTAACTAATGAAGTAGAGCAAGGTTAGGGGTAGACATTAAACTGAAGGAGGAATGAGGAGCACACGCTCCTCCGTGTGTTGTTGGACTACAATTCCCATAAGCTCTTCTTCTGGCGGTGCTCCAATCCTGGAAGCAGCTCAGGTTGTCTGTCCCTGCCTCCCCCAGCAGCCGACAACTCATCAGCTGTGCAGAGAGAATTCCCATCCCATCTCCCTGCCACACTGGTCAGCTGCCGAGGGAGGCATGGATGAGCAGCCAAGCTCCTGTCCAGATTGGAGTGCCCCTGGAGAAGAAGGATCTCAGCAGCACGCGACAGAAGGTAAGTGATCTAGCCAGTCTAAGGTGTGAAGGGAGTGGACACACTGTACCTGTGATTTCGCACCAATGAATGTCATCATCGGAGCCTGAATTAATTCAGTCCCATCTCTACACTGAAGAATTGTATTGCTATTTCCCACCAGAGACTGAGGATAATGGGCATCCCCCCACCTCTATCCTCATTGGAAATCCAGAATTTTCTTACAAGGAAGGAAATAGTTACTTTTTCAAAAAATATAATTATAATTTAACTAATTTTGAGGAGACAATGGTAGCGTAACTGTAACTAATTACTTTTAAAGCCAAATTTGCCTACTCTGCTCAAGATTAAGTCCAGAAGAGTTTGCTTAGATCAGCTGTAACACAAATTAACCCTTGGGAAATGTGGATTATACCAAAGATATCTCTAGTCAAGCTTCCAAGAGTAACCTGTCAAGATAAGAAGCAGGTCATCAATGAGATGGCCATTCTCTGTGTTGTTTTCTCGCAAGGGTTTCCTCCAGTAACCAAGGGTGGATCAAGACAGTTTCCTGCCTGAGGGAGGAAATGCAAAGATAGTGGTCACCCACTCTTAATAAATGGCAGTTAAATTGCACTTTAGAACTGGCAGGATGACAGCATCTCTCCATCACACAGATATGTTTTGAAGAGGAGAGAAAGCACACATGGTTTGGTTCTCTGAGAGAGAGGAATGGCAAGGGATGAAGTTGGGAGGGATAGCCAGGGAGCTGTCACTACTGCCCCCACCCAGAAATTGCTGCCTGAGGCTGGTGCACCACTATGCCTAATGACAGCACCAACCCTATAACTAGCAGACCACAGGGTCTGAACCCAGAAAGGTTAGTTCCAAACAAAAACATCACGCTTAATGGACTGAGCTGCATTGTGCTGTGCAAAAAGTTTATAGCTTCTTGTGATTAGCTGACAGCTACATTATCAGACCATCTATCAGTATGCTCTATTTATATTCTGACCGGTTTAATTAGATTGGGAGCATGTACATGCCGGACATTCCCATTAACTATCCTCTGCCAACAATCCAAGTTCTCCTAGCATCCTATCCAAGCATCCAAAAGGACTTTCAAAAGAGAAGGGGCAATCAAACGTAACTCACTACTATTGAGCCAGTAGATTTTGGGGGGAACAGCGCTGGTAGGTGGGTTGCAGGGTAAGACTGTATGAGTCCCTTCCTCAGCTGTAATGGGTGCCACCATCTCCTTTGGCCACTGAGGGACGCCTGAAAAGCAAGAAAGGAAGATATCAGTGAGGGAACACCCAAGGATAGGACAGGACTAAATTTGTTTGTTCGTTCATTCATTCATTTGTTCATTTTAAAAGAAATGCAAAGCCACTTGACTGGATCTAAATGATGTATGTTGTTCTCCAGGAGCAACAAAGTGTTGGAGAAAAATAACTTCTGATCTAATGTATCTCTCTCTGAAAGACTTTGAACTGTAAAAAAAAGGCAATCCTCCTTGGCTTAATAGTATCAGGGCATGAGGGGTGAATAATAATGGGGCCATTATTGCATTAATGCTGAAAATCAGCTCCTGAAACAAGTCCGTGCCCAGTTCTTTATGTTCTGTTTTTTTGGGGAGTCTGAAATGCAGTATGATCATTACAGCATTTTTGCAAAATATTCAATGTACAGATGTTTTCTTTCTAAATGCTTGATCCACAACCTCTCCCCTCCCCCCACAACCTCTCCTATATAGCATCAGGAGATAGTTTACCCCAAGATAGTTTGGTCCTGGAGAAAAAGAACAAGATGATGCTCCCTCTCCACTCCACATACAGTAGCCTAGGAGGCTAACAGTTGATGGCATGGCATCCTTCACCACTCCTGAGGTGGCAAGCTCCTTCTGGGGGCTTTGGACGGCAATCTGTCACATACCCTCTTGCCCTCCAACACAGGAGAAACCTGGGGAGTGCCAAGGGAACAGATGGCCGAGGTTGCCTTTGCTGCCCCCAGCATCTGGTCCCTACCTGACGCTAGAGCCAGCCCTTCAAGAAGGAGGCGGTCAGAACATTTTTATGTTTGTGTTTCCCATTGACTAAACCATGTGGGTTACATGTATTACTTGGATTTATGAGCAGATGAACAGCAATTGCTCTGCTGAGCCTCAGGTTTCAGTGAGGAAGGAGAATTGGGGAATGGGGGGGCGGTATCTTGAGTTACAGATAATTGTGCCATGAGGGGTTGCTTCTTAAGCCCCATCTCCACACATACATAATTGTTTATTGCCTCCAAGGTGTGTTTTGTTAACGGAGGTGCAGGGCAGAATGTCACTGTTCTCACCAACACCTTCACAAGTGGCAACTAATGAAGTAGAGCAAGGTTAGGGGTAGACATTAAACTGAAGGAGGAATGAGGAGCACATGCTCTTCCCTGTGTTTTTGGACTACAATTCCATAAGCTCTCACTACTGGCAATCCTGGTTATTAGGATGGGTAGGAGTTGCAGCATGTGAACAGCACTGGGTGACCGCAGGTTCCCAATGGCTGAATTAAAGGGAGTGGAGTGGGTTTACCTCTTCCTCTGCTCTCTGTGGCTTGTGTAAGATAAATAGGCAATTTATGACTGACGTGAGCTTTGAAGCCAGGACTTCCTTGCTCTTAGCTTACTCTTGAAGCCACGGTACCAGTGAATAAAGTCATAATAATAAGCGGGAAAGGACTGGGATTTCTTTGGGGAAATTTAGCTGGAATAAAAATGAAAAGGAGGATCGCATTTTTTAATATGAAAGGGGACATTGCTAACAGATTGTAAAATACCACACCCTTTAAAGAAAATTCCTTTCTGGTACCAGCTTTCTTTGGTGCTTACAGTTAAGATCAATACTGAGTCCCCTCTTCCATCCTCCTGTCCCTCATCCCCACTCACCCCCATCCCAATCTTTCATTTTATTTTTATTTATTTATTTGCTCTACTCTATACTTGGCAGGCGTGGGGAGGGGGAGACCAAGCCAGAGAAAAAGAGTAAGGGGGGAGGGGCCCATGGAGGTGCTGATGGAGAGGATGGGCAATTACATCATCCAACACCATGAAACCATGGCAACTGTTTCCGTGGAAACAGGAGCAACCGGCTGCACTCCGGGGAGTCCGGGCAGGTAAAAGGGGGGAAAGTGCCAAGGATAAGACATTTATTGCAAAGGGGGAGGGGAGAAATTTATTACCCAAATACTGTAATGGGTGTGGGTGTGCATGCATCCCTCTGTGTGTGTGTGTGTGTGTGCGTGCACGCACGCATGCACACACACACATACGTATGTACATGCTGAGCTGCAGTCATATGGCTAGCAATAAGCTGCATCAGCAAAGATTGAGCAAGAAATATTTATCTATCTATCTATCTCTGTGCGTGTGTGTGTGTGTGTGTGTGTGTGTGTGCAGGGGAGAAGAGACAGAGCTGAAGTGGGGAGTGAGGACTGGTGGGGCATTTCTACATTCAAGGGCAATGTATTAGGAGACTAGGGGACATTTGTGAGTGGCAACTTACTTTCAACCACAATGTTGCTTTCTGAGCTCATGGCCGTGCCCAGGGAGTTCTTGGCATAGCACCGATACCTCCCTTTGAACCTGGATGCCACGTTCCCATTGTTTGTGGTGATGACCAGAGTCCCTGAGTCTTGTTGCTGGATCACCCCTGGCACCTTGCGTGGATCCAACATGTCTCCATTTTTGGTCCAGTAGTACCTGCCAAAGGGAGAATCCACAACAGGGTAAAAAGAGCAAACGTTTTGGAACGAAGCTGAGAAGGAAATTTGCCTTCTGTGAGCAACTCTTAGTTGAAAGGTTGCTGCATAAATCACAAATGGAGCCACCTTTTGAGAGGGTGTTTGGAAGATTTGATGATATATATATTGGGTGCGTCTGGGATTGGTTCTATGCAACCTTGATTGAAAGGGTGAACCTGGCAGAAAAGCAGGAAAGCAGTTGAGACTCTAGGCTATGTTCAAAAATTTTGAAACCAGGGCATGGAGCAGAAGAGCAAGTTTGTTTACAAACTTTTCCCCCCAAATAATTTGTTACTTTTCATTAAGAGATCACCATATTCCTTTTACAATATTTTTATTTTAAAAATACATTTAATTTTTCTTAAAAACCACCAAAATGGTTCCCTCCACAATATTTTAGGAACAACAAACAAACATGACATGTTAGGTTTTGAAAAGATAAAATTCTACCACACGCTACTTTTAAAAAATACGGTGTAAGAGGGAACTTATTTTCTTGTAAACTATGGATTCTCAGAGAGGCGATTATAAAAAGTAGGATTTCCATGAAGAGACAGAAAAGGTCTTGGGGGAGATGACTGTGCAATATAAGTTCATAGGGAATGAAAGAGCAGGAGAAACCCTCATTTCCCTCATATTCACAGGAGCTGGGACAAAGACAAGAAAAGAGATTAGGGGATGACGTGAGGTCAATGTAAGGTCAGGGACATTACTCGAGCAGCATATGAGGAAGATATTAAGAACAGGAGTGAACAGAGCTCAGAACATTGTGCATCACGAAATAGTCAATATCCTAAATGCTGAAAATCAGCTCCCGAAACAAGTTCGTGCCCAATTCCTCATGTTCTGGTTTTTGGGAGTCTGGAATGTAAAATGATCATTACAGCATTTGTTGCAAAATATTCATTGCACAGATGTTTTCTATCTGAACGCTTTATTTAGACCAGGAGTCCTGTAAAATTTTGTTATGTGTGCAACAGTGTCATAACCTGGAGAAGCTATTCTTATAAATCAGGAGACAGAGAGAGAGACAGAGAGAGAGATTCAGTCCATAGATTCAGCCTGTGCCCTCTGCATGTTCTGGGGACTTCAGAAGCACTGGAGGCCTCTCACCCCCTGCCCCATGGAAATCACGGTTCTGATTTAAAACAAAAAAGCAAAAACAACAGAGTCTAGTGGGAGATTAACGGCTCCCACATTTTATATGGCAGAAGCTTTTGTGGGCTAGAGCCTGCTTCATGAGACAGAGAGAGAGACAGAGAGAGAGATTCAGTCCATAGATTCAGCCTGTGCCCTCTGCATGTTCTGGGGACTTCAGAAGCACTGGAGGCCTCTCACCCTCTCCCCCATGGAAATCACGGTTCTGATTTAAAACAAAAAAGCAAAAACAGTGGGAGATTAATGGCTCCCACATTTTATATGGCAGAAGGTTTCGTGGGCTAGAGCCTGCTTCAACAGATGCATGGAGCACAGAGGCAGCTCACAGGCTGCCACTGCCTGAGGTGTGGACTGAAGAACACACGCCTACATACATACATAGGGAGAAAGAGTGAGTATGATAGTGGAGATTCTGCAGTCCCCCAGATTACTCATCATACAGCAAAACACACAAACAGGGACAGCCAGCCAGCCACCTTCTTCTACTGTCATGGCAGGTAACAGGAAGCCTCGTGTCCAACCCAACCCCCCAACCCCGCAAAAAGAGGTGGCAATGATGGTTGCAGCAGCATTATCACCACCTCCACCTCCTCCCTACCTATTGAAGCAGGAAGACAAAGCTACAGTGAAGCTGGTGCTGGCAGTGATGCCACCCCTTCATGACGCCAGAACAGCCTGAAGACAGACGGTGATCGCAAGGGTGGTGACCACCAAACACCACCTGATGGCCTCCAGAAGTAGATTTTATATACAGCTGATGTCCAGCTCCAGACAGTCCTTGGAAGCAAAACGCTATGGGAGGAGCATGCCAGAGGAGCTAACTCTGCTGACACCTCTTCTCTGGTGGCAGGCAGAGGTACTGCCACCATCAGCTTCATTATTGGTATTGAACTAGAGCCAGTTCTGGAATGATGACGGGGACAACAACAGAAAATGGCACATTTGCCACCCTGATGCTCCACTGCTTGTGACAACTGCCTCAGTCAGCCTCATAGAAGGGCGTCATGCAGCAGTGCCACAGTCATTTATATAGTTGCATGGGTGGATAGCTCAGTGGTTTAGGTATCTAGCAGTGGAACCAGTGGTTGGGAGTTCAATTCCCCATTACGCCTCCAGGGAGCCAGCCTGTGTACTCACTGGCAAACTACATAGCCTCATGATGCCCCCAGAAAGAAGGGAAAAGTACTTCTGTGTATTCTGTACCAAGAAAACCCTGGAAAGGGTTACCATAAGTCAGAATGGACTTGACACACTATTATTATTATTTTATTTTTCAAAAAGACCAGGCACAGACAATCAAAATTATAAAAACACTGACTGATATTATATAACAGACAAAAGTTTTAACCAAAAAACTAAGTATCTGTTAAATATCAGAATAGTTTGTATGATGTTCCTAACATTGCCATTTTTTGTAGCGCCAATGGTGTTTTTTTTCCTAAGATCTGCAACTGCTTATAATACTGTGTGAAATTTCTTGATATTGTTCCCAAAGCCCCAATGATTATGGGGACCACTGAAGTGTGTTTCATCCACAAGTGAGATACTTTCGTTGCCAGGTCTCTGTATTTTGTTCGTTTTTCCAATTTTTTATCTTCAACTCTGGCATCTCCTGGAATTGTGATGTCAATGATCCAGGCATTTCTTCATTCCATTACTACTATGTCTGGTGTGTTATGTTCAATGTTTCTATCAGTTTGGAGCTGGAAATCCCACAGGATCTTGACATCATTATTACATCTTCTCTACCTGGTGTTCTCATGGGTTTTAGGAAGCTGCCAAGTTATATTTTTTTGCGTAATGACCACTGCACTAATTTTGCCACTCTATCATGTCTAATGTTCTAATCTTTTTGTGCAATCTTTGTATAATCACAGATGAGGTGTGACACAGTTTCATCTTTTTCTTGTCAGAGTCAACATTTGCTGTTAGTGCTTATTCCTTGAATCTTAGCTTTCATCACATTCTTTCTTAAGGGTCCTCAGTTTTAGCCATGCCCATGTTGAATTATTATCACGCTTTCCATCAACATTTCTGAGGTGCTGTCCATGTAGTGGTTTATTTTTCCAACTGCTTAATTTATTTTCAAATTGTTTTTACTTTTACTGAGCCTTTGTTTCTGTTGTTTTCAAGATATTCTCCACCTAAAGTAATTTTTCTCTGCTTGTTATATAATCATTTAGGCTTATTTTTTTTCCTCCTGTACTACCTGCTGCATTTGCAGTAATCCACAGTCTCCAGTTTTTCATGGTAAATATAATCTGTCCACATCACTTTTGGATGTAGTGCATGATGCATGTTCATTAGTGTCCATGTTTTTCTATTCAATTCTTCTAATTTATTTTGGGTCCAATCTATTAATCTAGCTCTGTATCTAATTACTGGAACTGCCCGTGTGTTTATGGCTTTGATTGTACTTCCACTATTTAATTTTGATTTCAAGATTTTCCACAGTCTTGATATATTCTCTTTCTGTCAATTCTTTAGCTTCTGTGTGGAGGATGTTATCTGCTTCTACTATTCCAAGGTATTTATAATTTTCATCACTTGATACTGATTTCATAATATCGCAATTTTTAAACTCTATTTTATCTAATTTTTGGACCTTGCCATGTTGTATAGATAGAGCTGCACATTTGTCAATTCCAAATTTCATTTGAATATCTTCACTAAATATTTGCATTGTATTTAATAGTGATCCAGTGGAACTTTTTGCATAAAGTTTTAGGTCATCCAAGTATAACAACAGATTATATATTTTTTTCCTGTTAGTTCTGAAATACGGTAGCCCAATCCAGATTTATTTAAAATTATTGACATGGGGATTAGTGAGATGTTAAACAGCAGTGGAGACAAAGAATCCCCTTGAAATATTCCTCTTTTGATGCCAACTTCCCCAATTTCTTCACCATAGGCCATTAAAATAGTTTTCTATTTTTCCATGTTCTGCTTGAGGAACTGATGATGATGACAATGGCGACAACGATATTTGTGGGGCCCACCTCTAGAGAAGGCATGCTGTCCCTGCATGTTTTGTTTTAATCAAAAAAGGGGGTTTTCAAAGCTTTTTTTGGAATGGCAAGTAAACTTCCTGTTTCAGTAGGAGGGTGTGTTGCAGTGCATGGCAAATCTCTGGAGTAATCTAGTCCTCAATGAAGTCACCCACCTTTGCTGTAGAAGTATATTAATTTCATCCAAATTACTATATGATTGACTCTTAGTATCTGCGCAGCTAGTAGCTGGGTAATCAGCATCTGAGAGTCTGCTTTCGACAGCTGATGAGAAACTGTAATCGCAGTTTGAAGAGTCTCATGTTTTTTTTAACACCACACAAGTGGAGCAGCATCAAATGCACACCCCAGTATAGTGGATGCTGACCGCCCCCCTTCCCCTTTGAGCACATACCACATCAGCATCTCCTGGATGGATGTGTATGTGAAAAGACCCTTGGTCCTATTTATAAATGCAGTGGTCATGTACTGTAAAGATTGCTAGAGCTTCACAGTGAAAATGCATTAAAAATTTTAAAGTCAGGCTTTTAAACTGAAAAAGTTGCTTTTGGTGCAAACTAATCAAATTTTAAATTGAGGAGAGAATGAGAGCCCAAAAATGTTTGCAACCCCACAAATCATTTTAAAGAGGACCCAATGCCTTTCAAAGGACAGAAAGGCCATTGTGAGCAATAAACATTCCCCCCCCCCAGAATGTTTAGTTTAGTTTAGCTAGGTGGAGTGCTGCAAAAATGGTTTTGAGGCTGCATGTTGCTCAGCCCTGATTTAGCATGCATTAGTATTGTTGCATTAGCAGTAATACTAAGAGGTGTCATGGCTTCGGAAGTGAACTATGTGTCAGGAAGTTCTGAATCCATGGCTCATTTTTGCATCCCTCTTCCTCTTTGGATTTTGTAAAGATCCCTGAGGAAAGGGAACGAACCATAAAATGTAATGTCTTTAAAAAAAAGTTGACCAAATGAAACTTTATCACCCAGAAATGGAGTGGATATAGAACACTAAGTTATTCATCTGGACTGGGTTTTAGATCTCTTGTGAGATCTTCTTACTGCCTTCAACTTGTCCTAGCATTATTGTCTTTTCCAAAGAACCATGGATTTTTTGTGCTGTCTGACAGCCTCAGTTTAACAAGTTCAGCTCCTAGTCAGAGTTCAGGCTTAGTCTGATACAGAACTCGCTTATTTGTCTTTTCAGCAGTCCATGTTATCCATAAAGCTGTCATCCAGTATCAATTTTCAGATGAATCCAATTTGTTTTCTGCCAGCTTTCTTTACTGTTTCACTTTGGTGCATAGTAACAGTCTGGGTGATCTTGGTCTTGCCTCAGGCAACACCATTCTTAGGCTTTAGGATCTTTTCCAATTCTTTCACAGCTGCTCTTCCGTGTTAGCCTTCTTTAGATTTCTTGGCTGCAGTCATCCTGTTGATCTCATGTTAGATCTTCCAAAGTACTGTATAGGAAATCTTTAGCTATTTTAATTTCTTTCTTGTCATCATTATCTGGTTCCTTTCTAGTCACTGTTGTAATCCTGGTTTTGCACTTTCCTCTTTTATTGTCATTGGGAATCATTTCAAGTTGTTGCTATTTTCTGCCAGTAATACACTGTCATCTGCATCTTCCATCATCTGAATCTAATCCAGTTTTTCGTATTATATGTTCTGTCTACGGATTGAACAGATGGGAAGATAAAATACACCCTCCTCTGACACCTTTGCCAATTGGGAAGTATTCTCTTTTTCCTTAGTCTTTTCTCCAGAGTATAGGTTACACACCCAAAAAAACAAAGGTTGTAGTACCCCCATTAATTATAAAACTATTCCGATAGTTTAATGATCCAAACAATCAAAGGCTTTATTGGAATCTATAATGCACAAGCTGAATTTCTCCTGAAAGTCTTTGCAGTGTTCCAGTAACCAATGATATCTAGTGTCTCTTCCTTTTCTGAATCCACCTTGAACATCCAGCATTTCTTGCTTCACTTTAGGCAAAGTCTTTGTTGTAAAATCTTGAGCATTGCTTTGCATGGGAATTTAGTGTGATAGTCCAACAACAACTGTGCACTCTTTGGTGTTTCCTTTCTTCAGAATGTGAACATTTCTAGTATTTTGATCTGCAGCTATTTCATGGTATTTCATATACTGTATTTTAATGTGTAATCAGCTACATCCTGCACATTTGCAGAAAAGTGTTCACCCTATTTTCCAATATCTGCAGTTGACGGCCAAACTTGAATCACTGCTATACTGATAGGTTTTCCATGAAGTCTGATTAATAGCATTCAAACTTCTTATTATAGCCCCTAGATGCTTCTGTTACATCTGACCTTACTCTTAGAGCTATACCACTTCTTCAAAGTTTTCTGTTTTCACAGTAAAAACTTTTAAATTATCTCACCCAAAATGCCTTGTTCCAGTCTACTCTTTTTCACTCACTTCCAATATTACAAAGTTTTAAACTTTCCATGTCTTGTTTTTCAGCTTACTTTGAACCCTACTTCTAACATACCATATGTTGCTTATTTATGATGCTGTGCAGCTTTAAAGTTCCATTTTGCTTCTGTGTCAAGCTGCCTCTGAAAACCTTTGGTTCAAATACTGTCTCTCTGCCTTCTAATGTAAAACAAAGAGATTAGAAATGGCCTTTTCAATAGTTACACCTGCTTATGCAATGGTCTCCCACACTTTGGTGTTTCACTGCAAATGACCCATTTTGTACTTTAATTCCTCAATTCTTAGTGGCCAAGTTAGGAAATCTGCTTATTTTACTGCTCGCATGTGTTCTTTATTGTCTAAGGATACTAGTTTCCACATTGCTTTAAGAACTTGATGCTGCTATCTGACTTTATATAGCAGCTGTATTTTATATCTGGCAGGTTTTGGAGAGATTTTTAGAAAACATATCCTTTGCCACTTTGTGAATTTTTAAGTTAAAAAAATACTACATGCTTTATAATAAATAAGCCATGTCTACAGCTAGGTAGAGGTTACAGACCATGAGATGTGAACTCTATGAAGTCTAGATTTCAGTAGGAGATCTGTTCTCCCCAGCTTCATTGATTAAAGATACTTATCCTGACAAGCCTAATGCCATCATTGCAACTGTCCCAGAGATTTAGTATATGAGAGCCTTGTACCTCTTGGGGCACCATGGGCATGGTAGCCAATATACTTATGATATTGATTCCTATGAACTAGCAGGTCTAGAATCAGCAATGGGCTGAATAAACTGACCATCTTGACAGAACTGATGTTCAGCAGTTACAGTTCACCTGTTCAAAGAGGTGCTTTGGATGGTGTTATAGGGTCTCTATTAACATCAAAAAAGCAGGAAAAAGAGAAAACTTGTCTGATTTGGGTAGAACTAGTAAAGCTATAATTTAATTATAACAGCATTACATTTCATTAAGCTAAATACTTAGCTTGCATTATGCTAATAAATCCTTACAAAAATCCTATCATGCAGGTAAATATTATCAGTCCCCTACTCCAGACCCAGTCTCAAGCCTGCCAGTCTCCAGGTGCACCAGAATGCAGCTCCCATTGTGCCTTGAAAGAATACTATGGTGCGCTGGGAATGGTGGGAGCTGCAGTGCCTAATTTTAGGATAGTTTAGTACTTTATAGTAATTTCATAATTTTTGTTTCTTTGTATGACAGACAGACAGACAGACAGACAGACAGACAGACAGACAGACAGACAGACAGACAGACAGACAGATAGATAGATAGATAGATAGATAGATAGATAGATAGATAGATCCTCTGACATGCATGGAGGGCACCGTGTTGAGGAAGGCCTCATTTAAGCCACTAGTACTTTATAGTAATTTCATAATTTTTGTTTCTTTGTATGACAGACAGACAGACAGACAGACAGACAGACAGACAGACAGACAGACAGACAGACAGACAGACAGATAGATAGATAGATAGATAGATAGATAGATAGATAGATAGATCCTCTGACATGCATGGAGGGCACCGTGTTGAGGAAGGCCTCATTTAAGCCACGAAACAGAAGGTTTCCAAAGCACATGTTCAAAAAACAAACACTTCAAGTTGCCTTATCAACGGACCTGAAATGGCCCCGCGCCGCGTTGAGGAAGGCCTCATTTAGGCCATGAAACAGAAGGTTTCCAAAGCACATGTTCAAAAAACAAACACTTCAAGTTGCCTTATCACCTGATTCAAATGGGTAAGCTTTCCAAACAATTCCATGTTCTGCTTTGCTGCCTTCCCATTTTACCACTTCTGCAGACAGGGTTTGTGTGCACTCCTACCACTCATTTGTATTATTTATGACTGAATGCAGGAGACAGGACCTTACCCAGCAGCAGCAGCAGCAATCATCTCAACTATATTTCCAGCATGTTTTTCCAGAAAATCCCTTCTAGTATAAAAGAGCAGAAGACCCCCAGGTTTAGGTGAAGGAGAAAAGCAAAGCCTCAGGGCCAAACTAAACCTAGAAAATGGGGGTGATTTGTATCCCTAACTTCTTTTGTCTTCATTTAAAGAAGCTGGAGATGGGGCTAAATCGGACTAAAGCTGCAGTGCTGGGGCGGGGGGAGTAACTTTTCTTTTCCCACTATGAAAGCTTAAATTAAGGAATGAAGGGGTAGCTTGCCGTGTTTCATGGATTTTGGCTGACCCAAATACAACAAGAAACTTGAAGGAGCATTTAAAGTTCCCCTCCCACCCCCACAAGAGTCCCTGCCTCCACCAGAGAGCAAGAAGAAACTCTCTTCACCCCTCATCTTTGCAATTTGCACAAAATGTCTCTAGGGCCTTTCTCCTTTTTTAGAAGCAAAGCTTCTAAATGTGCACATGTACACATGCCGAACACAGAAGGGTCGTTTGGTTGTTAAGAAAGACACGTGCAATTAATCCAGTGGTTCAAATTCTGAAGCAAAGTCACCGTCACTCTAGTGTGGGGCAATCCGTTGAACTGTGGAAATTGTGCAAAACCATTTTGTGCAATTTTCACCCTTCTTGTGCAAAATATTTTTCTTGCCAATGCACAAACTTTGTTAAGAGCACCAGGAAACGCCTCACCATATTTGCTGGTGAAGAGATGAATGCTGTAGCGACTCTTCCTCACCTGTAACAACTAGGCAAACAGGGACTAATAACTGGCAGCTGATAAAAGGTCACTGGCTTTTTCTCCGCTAACTACAGCTTGGGAAGGGAGAGCATTTTGGATCAGAAGCCTACCTCTAGGCATGAGTTCCCACCCCTCCACAATCTCCTCCCCTACCTCATGTCTAGGTTGGGCTTCACCTCTCTGTACATTTGGAGAACATCACTGTAAAGACTTTACAGAGAGTCTTTACACCCCAAAATGTTCTTTTCAGCTGCAAGTCAGGATAAAGGAAGCAATGCCATCTTTTCAATACTCACTGCACTGGAGGATTCCCACTGGCCTTGCATTTCAGGGTGACCTCGTCAGTGGGGTACACAACAATCTCCTTCTCGGGCTGCTGTGTGAATTCAGGTGGTTGTAGCACTGGGAAAATGGAGAGAGACGGAAGAAGATTAACAAGCAGAAACACCTAGGTTCAGAGGAATCGATCCTTTGAAGCCCCTTCCCTGACCTGGGCAAGTTCTTACACGGTCTTCCCTAAACTGTCCCCACCCTGAAATGGGTTCCATTCTGGGAGATGTAATTCAAAACAAAACTTTTTCAAGTTTTGTAAAGACTGTGCCATTCGGATTAGGAACACCAAAGGATCTTCCTTATCATTGTAATAATCCCGAACATCTCTCCCTTCCCCACCCCATCCCCATCTATCTAGGGTGGCCAAGTTAAAAAACAAACAAACTAGACAGGGCTTCTGCCCTTTAATTATTGTCCAGGAGAGGGGAATTCATCACGGGTTACACTGGCTAAAATTCCCTCTCGTTTTCAACGATTAAAGGTGCAAACACCCTGCCTCCTTCTGTACTTGGCTGTCCTGATACTGAGCCCAGCCAACACCCCCCCCACCTCCGTTTGATAGAAGACTCACAGTCCGCCTGGGCATCTGCAGCAGCAAGGGAGCAGCAGAAGGAAGAAATGAAGAGAGAGGTCTCAATTAATCATCATTTCGTAAAACCCTTACATAGCATAAAAATTGGGAACACATATTATGAGCGTGCACAACTAGGGAGAAATGCACAGCTGGAGCCTGAGTGTGCAAAATGAGCATGTTTGAGACGGGCATGGTGACCGCACAAGATAAAATAAGGTATCAGCCGATTTAGAACATCCACACATGAGACCAGCGGGTGCCAATCTGCAATATAAGTGAGCATGAACAGGCAAGGGAGCCAGACATCAGTAGGCTGTGTGAAGTGACACCGTGATACATCTCTATGTCTTCTTACAGTAGATGTATCTGGGAATTATACTTACCACTGAGGATGCTGGAAGGAGTTTCTGGGAGGTGAAGCCTTAAGTGTGGTGGGGGAGGGAATAACTCCCCATCCTTAGTGTAATGGACCCCGCTTTTAGGGCTTGTGAGAAGACTCAATGTCAATTTGGAATTGGACCTTAGAAAAGTTAATCTTTTTGGCTGTATCTCCCAGCATCCTCCATCCAGCATCGAGTCCAGTAACCAGAGTCTGCTTTTCTGAGCTCTGTTGGGAAACTTTCAGTTTTATCTTAGTACAAGAGCTTCAAAAGGTTCCAAATGGAACATGAAAAGGAGGCATCCTGAGTGAGGAAGACTTGAGGTGGGTTGGAATGAATGAAGAAGAAGAAGAATGTATACATGCACAGCGACATGAAAAATAGTAATACAGTACATGAGCTGGGTGCATTGAATACAGTACATCCAGTTTCACAGACCATATAAAGTGAGAGACGATGATCCTAGCTCACCTATTTAAATGGCTGGTAGGACAGCGAAGAATGTAGGCAGTTGCCTTATATACGGAGTCAGGCATTGGATCAATTTAAAAGCACTTAATACCAGGGATGGGAGGATGTGTGGCCCTCCAAGTGTCTTTATACTCCAAATCCCATCATCCCTCACCATCTTGTATGATGGATGGGAGCTGCAGTCTAGCCATATTTGGAGGGGCCACATGATTTTAATAATAATAATAATAATTTATTGTCATTGTAAGTACATACACAGTATACCCATACAACGAAATTCACAGAGACCCAGAGACCAGACACATGCACACACATAAAATTCCCCAAACACTCCCCACCCACTAAAAGTCCCCCACTAAAAATACAAACATCTACACCGCAGGCCAAGTAACACAGTCCAACTAATTATTCACTACTGGTGGTCTTTAAGCTCATTATTAATTGCAATTATAGCTCTGGGATAAAAACTATTGAGAAAACGTGTGGTCCGAGTCTTAATTGTTCTATATCTTCTGCCAGATGGTAACAGTTCAAAAAAGTTATAAGCAGGATGGGAAGAGTCTCTCAGGATGCTGTGTGACTTCCTCAGACAGCGGGATGTGAAGATGTCATCCAGGGTTGGTAGCTGGAGCCCGATGATATTCTGGGCAATTTTAATGGTTCTCTGTAGAGCTTTTTTGTCCGCTACAGAGCTACTCCCAAACCATGCCAGAATGCCATAGGTTAGGACACTCTTAATGGTGCTACGATAGTATGACAGAAGTAAATGCTGAGATAAATTTAACTTGCCAAGCATTCTCAGGAAATACAGCCTCTTTTGTGCCTTCTTCATTAGCATGTTGGCATTTATAGTCCATGAGAGGTCCTCTGAGATGTAAATACCCAGAAATTTAAAACTACCAACTTCTGGTACTCTTCTTCTACACTATCTGCCATCAAGTCTTTCTCAGCTATTTCTAAAGGGACCAGGGCAAATATCTCTCTCTCTCTGCCAAGGAGGTCCTTGCTTGGTGAGCTACAGCCCTTCCCCCTTTTTTTGCTGCCCTGCTAGACCAGCTGTGGCTTGATCCACACTTTGCCCACACAGCTGACATGGGACTTCCAGAGGATGCCTGCTGGGAAAGGCCTCCTCAACAGGCCGTGGATTTTCTGCTACTACAGGACTGCAGGTGGGCTGCCTTGTTGTGGCAGTAGCTAGGAATACCAGTGGACTAGGGTCCGAGGAGGGAGAGGGAAGAGGCAAATGTCCAGAACTGCTCCTGCACATTAAATAACAACATGATGTACAGAATACACAAACGTCTTTGCAGGAGGAAGATAAAACCCTGTCCTCTGTGAATGTCTGCAGATCAAGTCAAAAAGTGAAGTTACCAGATGAGTGGGTGGTCATCTAATCTGAAGATGTTTTTTATGCTGAAGGAGACTAACTCTGGAAGAATCTGTACACCAATCAGAGAGGGATGGAGCTGAGCACCAATCCTCAAATCTAGCGAGCTTTCTAGCTTCCCCCCTCCACCACCAGAAAACCCTCTTAACTCATGCCAGATTGATTCTTATAGGAATCATTGTGTGTGGTTGAGTCAGCGACAGGTTGGGAAGAGGCTCTCATCCAATTAAGGCAGGGAAAATGTCCCCAGGGATCCACTGGCCTACTCATCCAGACGTAAGGAGAGAAGAGAGAGACACACACACACACAAACAGAGGGAGTCAAGTGGGGGATGGGGCAGCCAGGAGCAGCAGAGGTGAAGGGAAGGGAGACCCTAAAAGCTTGTGCTGGGAAAGAGCTCGTCTCCACTGAACAACTGCTCAAATCTAAGAGACACAATCCATAACTCACTTGCCCCTGAGATCAAACGTTTTGAAAGGAAGTCAAATGGAGAAGACAAAAAAAAGAAAATCTGAGAAGTTCTCAAGATTATTTTTATAAAAAAAAGATTATTCTCTGCTTCAGCTCAGTATTAATTTGGACTGGACTGGGATATGGATCCCGAAGGGATGTCTTATCCCATATCTATTAGCTGCAGCTAAATTTTTAATAGCAAGATGTTGGCTTTGGAAAAAAAAAGTCACCTTCAATTAACACAGAGATAGAAAAATTTCTGAAGTGTTATTATTCTAGTTTCCCACAAACTAATATGCAAAATACTTTATGGCTCCATGTTTCAACACATTTACAAGGGATTAGGGCCGCTGCACTGGGTGGAACCCATTTCTGAATCAGTGTGCTTAGAACTATAATAGGGCTTTGATTTGTTGATCAAAATGTTCTAAATTTGTGAAGATCTGTAAACAGGGCAGAGGTGCCGAGAGACTCACAAACAACAACATAAGAACTCTGTTTATCTGTTTAAAAGAAAAGGAAGTCACTTCTTGGGTGGCTGTCTGATTATTTGTAACATCGATTGTAATTTGAACCTCTGAGCCATTTCTATATGCATTTTATATTTTCTGTAAATACATATTATTTATGGAAATCAACTTAGGCAAATCTGTGTTGTTTGTTCTAGGGAGAGGTTCCCAACCTTGGGTAACCCAGGTGTTCTTAGACTGCAACTCCCAGAAGTCTTCACCACCACTTCTGCTAGCCAGAACTTCTGGGATTTGCAGTCCAAGAACATCTGGGTTACCCAAGGCTGGAACCACTGCTCTAGTGCATTCTAACTGCATGTTTTGTTCTAGAATCAACATGTGAGGACTTATGGGTTTGGAATATCCTGGCTCAAAGAAAGGTCATAAACTACAAGATATTCAGAGCTTGGTCATTGACTTCTTTAGCTCAGAATAGTTTAGCGCCAATGCCATTCACGCCCCTGTGGTGTGTGTTGTTTTTTAAAATAATCATTTATGATAAATTATTGTGCAACATGAAAATAAAAAAAAGGACTGATATGTAATAATAGCTTTATTGATATATGGACAAATTTATTGAGTTTGTGTTTTTAAAAGGTAAGAACTAGAGATGGGCACAAACTGCCAGTAGGTTTAGCAGTCAAACAGGTGTTTGGTGCTTCCCAGACCCAGCTCCACCGGCAGGCACCCACTCAGAGAAAGCATCCTGACTTACCTGCCCCACCTGCTTTGGGAGCTGCCTGTGAGTGTGCACCCACTGGAGGAGGTGGGGCTAGGAAGCACCAAAAACCTGCTCAGCTGATAAACGAACTGACATGAACAACCAAACCGGCAGTTCATACCCATCTCTAGTATTCCTTCACAAGAATCAATGCAGTTTTAGAAGGGAAACAGGGCTTCACAATGAAGGAATAATTGGTTATATCTCCAGATGGTCCGAGTGGGGAAAAGCACTTTTTTGTATTAGTGTGCTATTTTTAGTTTTTTTGTGTTACTAAGTTTTTTTTCCCATTAGTTGTGTCTCATTTTATTTTTGTATAGTTGGTGTAAAAAAATAAAATTAAAAGCCAGCATTTATTAAACAAATTAGAACAACACATTATTACCTTGTAACAACTAATACAATAGCACAGAATAACACCAAATAATTACAATATATCGGAGGTAGTTCCATCTAGCTTAATGACAAGTATGGAAAATAAATGTTAACCATATATCTTGCATGCTTGTTGTTTCTTTATTAAATAGCAGGCTTGTACATTGACACCCAGGATAATGACTGCAGTGCAGACTGAAGAATACTTTAACTCTATGACCCTGTTGTGCCCTCACTATCGACGGTACTCCCTTCATGGTTGCTATCTGTCCTGGGGGAGAAGCTGCAACTAGCACTGAGAGCAGATTTTGTGCTAGGGCCAACGAGAACATGAAGCTCTGGAAGACCACCACCAATCAGTAGGGACAATACTAAGCTAGATGGACCAATGGTATAGGGCCCTCCTCCTTCCTATGTCTCTCTTCACCTGTGTTATGGTCCCAAGCCAGAACTCTCCCCAATGTTTGCTGTTTAGAAAAGGGAGCAGGGGACAGGCATGCCAAGGACAAGCTGGTGATCGATGGCCAGAATCCTATTACATATTTACCTCAGAATAAGTCTAAAAGTGGACAATTTGAGCAATAAATTGGTCCAAGTTATGAAGTTGCTTTTGTTGTTGTTGTCAAGCCATGGACTGCTGCATGAAAAGAAAAACACATAACTTCTTAACTGGCAGCAGTTCACCGCTGAAATTTATGCCAATGGAGTTATGCTGGTGGACGCAAATATTAGGTTTCCAGCCAGTCTGGCTCTTTTGAATAGGAAAGGTAAGCGGCTAAATCCAGGATCACTTCTGTGCAAAATATACATCTTCTTATGAAGCTAGGAAAACCTCAAGCATTCTTGTTCTTATAAGCCAGTTAACCTTTTGCTCCCGTCCTCCATGGTATTAACATATAACATAAATACATTAGCAAATGTAACAGTAAAGAGTTGCCCATTTCTGTCTTTCTACTGTATTTCAAATTTTAGTGGCTCAGGGATCACACTATTACTCTGCCCATTAATTAACGTGAACTAAATGCTGCTGCTCCCATCTTGCTTCCATTGCAATGTTCATCATACAAATTAGCATCTCCCCCTATGGACTAGAAGTGGGGTGGAGGACAAAAAACAGAAGTTCAGGCAAGAGTGCGCTCTTTCCAAGTTTTTTATGCAGCTGAGAGAAACTAACCCTGCTCCTAATATTTTGGCAACCTAAGCAGATAGGTGGTGTAACTCTATGATTTGAGAAGAAATCTGCTGTATAACATATATACACTATTTCATTAAGGTCATGGCACCTGCTTAGTGAAAGTCAGGAACACTGAAAGAAATCATACATCACTTCCTATACCTACAAACCTAGGTTTACACCTTCCATCTAAGAACTTCCCCATGTTCCATAGTTCCCTTAAGAACTAGGTCTGTAAGGTCTACATGTAGTTTATTTTATTGAAACGATACCATGGTGATCTGCTCGCAGGAGTGTATGCTACTCAGCATGTAATAGTTCCCTCTCACCCACCCCCAGGGGAGGGAGCACTGTCTTCTATTCCTCCCTTCCAGATTCCAGGTTCAATATAGGGAGGCTAGAGTACAAAAACTCTTGCGATGGCCCAGGTCATGGTAACCCCTTTGCCATGAGAAAGAGGGCCAGTTATCAATGCAATGCCTCAATATGGATCATGCTCTGCTGGACTTATTGGGATCCCTAGCATGTGAGGGGGGTCTGTGTGTTTCTTTTTGCTATATTGTGTCATGCTGCATCCTTGTCAATCATCTACAATAAACCTTTTAAAGCACCAGTGGTTTTCTGTCTTTGCCAAAACTCAAAAGAACATAAATTCACTAGCACACTGGTTGGTTCAAAACCAGGAATTAGCACAGCCAGGCTTGAGAATCTGCATGCATATATTGCCATATTTTTTTAAAGTGTGCTGCTTTTATTCAGGTTTACTTTGAGACCCCTCTGTCGAAAGCTTGGCTTACTCAAATCAGACTAATATCTTTGAGTAGGGTCTTTTCTGTGTTGGCCCATCAGGCACAGAATATCATGCCACTAAAGGTTCTCCAAGGTTCACCAAAGTTTTCCATATGTGGTCAAGAGCTTTAGAGTTCTTCCATGGGGACTCTGTGACGGCTGACTTAAATTCTTCTTTCATTTTCCTTTTGATTTTTGACACTGCTGCGGCATCTGCTCTGTTCTTCTACTATCACTTTATTGTGCAGAGTTTAACTGCATTTTAGATTGGTTTTAACGGTAAATTGTATTCAATAGTAGTAAGCTGCCTTGAAGGCAGAAAAGGCACAAAGAAATTAATTAAGTAATTAAGGGCTGGATAGTCTCTTCTCTCCTCCTCCTCTACAAGAGGTGTCAGCTTTCCCCCACCTCATGATAGACTCGAAGGAAACAAACTAGAAATTCAGCCTGAGCATCAAGTTAGACAAGGGAAGATAATTTCCCAGGCATTGCTAGCATTTGTTTTAAAAAGGCAATTTTAAAGCTTCTTTGGAGGAGCATAATTTTGAGAAGAAAAACTGATAAATGTTAAAGAAAACCATTAAACAATTCCTCCTGCTTTCCTTCGACCATTCTTCCACAAGTCACTGGTAGCCTCCCTTGCTACTTTTCCATTAAGAGGCAAATTGGAAAAGATTAATCATAATCCTCTCCCATATTTTGTGTCATTTGACCAGGTCAGAGGGATAACAAAGACTTGTCTCCCATAAACTGCCCCTCCTAGGATGTTTTGGATTTCAACTCCCATTATCCTCCCCCATTTAGCACAGTCATTGCTGTTTGGGGATTGTGGCGTTTGTAATCTGGAGGGGGCTAAATTGGGGAAAGCTGTTCTAGATCAATAAATCCAGCTGGATATCTGACCTCCAGAAGACAGCCTGGCCTTAATCTTAGCATGTCTGCTTCATAATAACATCCCCACCACCACCACCACCAAATAAACTGCTTACAAAAACTAAGCAATATATTTTCTGTTACCTTGGGATGTGAGGAACTGTAGTTCAAAATATCTGGAGTTGTCTGCTCTGTTGCTCATAATAAAGGAACTGAGGGGAATTTCTGGAGAATGGCCAGGTGCCACAGGCTGTCCTAGACAGATATTATTACTATGAGAATTATCACTAATATGCACCGATTTAGAGCTGTTTCCCTGATTTTTCCTGAAGCAGGCTGAGCATTCTTCAGCACTTCCATCCTGCTGGGTTTTAAAAATTGCTCTCTCCCACTCCTTGCCGCAAGGCGAATGTTGTCTCAATTTTTTGTATTACATCAGAAGAAGGACAGCTGCTAATACAACTGCCAACAAGCTAAATAAAATCAGCCCTGCAAGAAAGAAGCTGGCTCTAGCACAGATGTAATGCTCAGGCCACAATCTGGATGCACAGGAACACCACGTTTCCCCTTCAAATTGGGGAAGATCCCAAAGAGCAACGCCCTTGGGTGCAGCTGGAATTAGCTCAAGAGATCCCAGGAATACTTGCAGTTCTCCTTGGGGAAGCTCAGTGGCTCCAACAGACTAGTAAAGAGCAAACCAAGGAGGGAAACAAATTGCAAAGCCTGTCAGCTTATCACCGACCCCTGGGAAGTTGTCAGAGGAAATCAGGAAACAATTGATTTGGAAAGCATGCAAAGAATTCAACAAGGGTTTCAGACAAACAAATTAGGTGAAGCCAAAAATAAATTTCCCTGCCTTTGACAAAGTAACTCATTTCACGGACAAGTGCAACGCTGTGTACGTGTGCAAATTTGTGAGAAGAGCAAACCTTTTAACATTAGTTCAGCCTCATTTCCTCCTAAGTAAATTAAAAAAATATCTGGACTGAAAACCAGGCGCCTGACATGAAATCACAAGGGCAAGCAGGAAGGAGATCTCCAAGGGGACATCGGGCTTTCAAGGAGAGAACCTGGCCCAAGATTTTCAATGGGTCAGGCCCATCTGCAAAGCAGCAACCACCGATATGTTTCAGCTCTCTGTGTTGCATCGAGCACTGTTTGACATTTTGGGGAAATCCTTGAAGGAGAAGTGAAAGACAGCACTCCCTAGGTGTGGCACATGAAGCAAAAGGAACCGCAGCTAGTGCAAAGGGATGCAATTAACATTCTGTATACTCTTCACAAACGTGGAACAGGAAGCTTTGAAATTAAATTCAGACATCATTTACAGGGAGTGCTGGGGAGAGTGGAAACGAATGGAGGTTACAGTCAGGTACAGAATACCAACACTTACAAAAAAGAGCAGTAATGCTAGCATAAGTTACATGCTTTCGATGTGTTGGAGGAAGGAAGGAAATGGCATGGGAAAAGTTTGACCTGCATTTTTAAAAAACTTTCATGGGAAATAGAAAAGCAAGGCTCAGGACCACAGGGCATCCCTGCCACATCCCTCGAAAGAAGGTCTTGTTTCTTAATCCTAAATGGGCAGAGACAGGGTATAGTTACTCAGTAATGGGCAAAGGGCATTCTTCACATGGTCAGAGGCTGCAGTGTTTTTTTTTACTCAGAGGCCTGTATTCAAATGCTTCTTAGCTCATCTAGTCTGCTGTGTAGCCAGGGCAGGCTGCTGTTATTTCAGCTATAAGAGTAACAGATGAAGACATGGGAGGGAGAAAGCATGAGAGGGACTCTCCAGCTGTCCCTAGTGGGGCCTAGCACCCATGTCTCCCTGCCCCCCACCACCACTGATGGACTACATAGAGAATCTGGCAGCAAGGCAGCCTAAAGGCACAGAATGTGGCAGCAGGCCCCCCCAAGGAGGAAGATGGAGAAAGATGAACAGTATCTGGAGAGCAGAGCAGCAGCTTAGGTGGAATGGTGGGCGCTGGGCTTAAAGGGAGAGGAAAAGGGTGACGGAGGTGCGAATACTCATCGCTTCCATCTAATACAGTGTTGGAGGGGTGGGGTGGGGCCCACAAGGACCCCTTCTTGTCTCCTGAGCCCTAAGCAAGAACTGGCCCCTCGTCCTCCAGGATTGGCAGATGGGTCAGCTTTACCCCAAATACAGGCTGAGAAGAGGGAGCACCCATATTTTCCCTAGCAGGACACTGCCATGGCAGCCCAGCCAAGCCACTACCTGGGATGCCTGTACTCATCCAGAAGTGGCACTGGAGGAGGAAAAGCTACCACCAGTGTCTGCAGTAGCTGATCAGAAAGCAGGGCAAGCTGCTGGGGCGAGGGGGACCTCCACCAACCCAGCACTATCAGTCTTCCCTGGGGAGGATCAGGTAGCTGGGGCCAGGGCTATGAACTGGACTCCAGTCCCAAATTGTGGACAGTGATGGACCAGTGAAGGAAACTTGGACCCAAATACAGACAGTGAGCTACAGGGGGCTACGGAAGAGAACTAAGCCCCCTGTGGACTTGTGGGATGGGGGGGGTTCAAGGGGCTCAGCCTGACTTTGTACTCCATCTTAATCAAGGTAAGCACCAGCAACGCCCAGTGCCTGGAGTCTAGAGAGAAGAACTGTGCGTATTCTCCCTTGGAGGAAGTGGGGATATAACAAATGCTAATTAAATAGATGTAAAATAAAAACAAAAACAAAATGCCTGACAGTCAGTCACTCCAGCAAGAACCAGGAGGTTTTATGCAACAAGCATTCTCAGAATTACATTAATAGTGCTTTTGCACTTTGAAATTTCATTTTCAATGCTGGTATCCGATTTTACTGGGTCTTCACTTTCACAATGTACTCTTGTATATGATCCTGTGCCTAGTTCACTGGATAGCTCAGTGAAGTTGGGAGTTCAATTCCCCAGTGTGCCTCCTGGGAGAACATTAAGCTTGTGTGGTTTGAGATAAGATACATGGCCACCGAGTGCCCCCCAGAAGAAGGGAATGGTCAACCACGTCTGACGGCTGTATACCAAGGAATCATTGTGAAGGATCACTGTAAGTCAGAACTGACTTTACAGCATGCAATTATCATTCAGTATTTCACTCCATGTGTCTGAGGAAAGGCGGAAGAGGGAAGAGCACACTGCAAAAAGTGAACAGGTAGTCACACTAGGGAGGCATGGAGGGAACTGTGCATCACCTGAGCAACGGGTGAGTGTGAAGAGGGTGCTGTGCCTGCACAACACCTGTCTGAGCATGGAGACAAATTGACCTCCAAACTGAGGTTTGTGCCCATCTTTAGTTATGGGAACTGATATCCACAACACTCAGAAATCCAAAGCTTTTCTATTCCTGTCCTATAGCCTGGTGATGCCTGGAAAAATTAAGCCCTACTTTCCCCCACTCAAAATTCTGATTATTATTTTTTTAAAGCAGCTCTCTCTAACTCTCTCACCAACTTAGAATTCACCTAAATGCAGTCATGACCAGCAGGAAATGCTATGGATCTCACCGTCCTCTCCTCTCAATGATTGTCAAGAGGAATTCGTAACTGATGATCCTCCAGACATTATTGGATTGCAGCTCCCATCACTCCAAGTGAGAATGGCTGGGAGTTACCACCCAGCAGCATCTGAAGAGCTGCCAGGATCCACACCAGTGCTCAGTGCCAGATTCACTGCCAACTTCATGGCCTTTCCCCCTCTTTGGATTCTAGTCATACTCTCTCTCAATCTCTCTCTCTCTCATTCTTCTCTTTACAGTGAAAATGTAGGTTATGCCCTTTCATACAAAGTGTTGTTGTTTAGTCGTTTAGTCGTGTCCGACTCTTCATGACCCCATGGACCAGAGCACGCCGGACCCTCCTGCCTTCCACTGCCTCCCGGAGTTGGGTCAAATTCATGTTGGTCATTTTGATGACACTGTCCAACCATCTCAGCCTCTGTCGTCCCCTTCATACAAAGTAGGGGTAGGCAATTTGCCATTGTCCAGCTGTTCAGGCTGCAATCCCATTAAGATCAAAATTTGGCCGGGGAGACCACAACTGATGGGATAATCAAAAATATCTGGAGGGCAGCAGGCTGTTTAGATGCACAAACTCTGTCTACAAAAGACATCTTAGTTTAAACCTACATTGGCTCTAAATTGAAAGCATAGAATAGTTACTTTTTTTGGACTACAACACCAGGAATGTCCCAGATGGCAAGGTCAGAGATCATGCTGGTTTGATGATCCTTGGAGATGTAATCCAGAAAGGTGGTATTTCCATACTCTGGCTTTAATCAGATCAACAGTGGGGGTGGGGGAAGTCCAACCAGGCAGAAGAGGCAATCAGGGTGAGGGCAGCTGTGGCTTCCCTTTTTGTGCTGTTGGTCTGCCCATAGACTCTTCTTCTGAACTCTTTTTTTCCCCTCGAGCATGTGTGTGTGAGAGAGAGAGGTAAGCACTGGGCACTGAGCAGATTTAATTGCTGCACCCCTTCATCCCCATGCCTCATCTCCTAGCAGGGATTTTCATATGTGACTGGGATAGGCTCAGGTTTAACTCATGCATCTGCTGTCATCATGACTAGTTTCACCCTAAGAACATCAATAATTTCCAGCAGGGTTGTGGTAAGCAGAGATAGAGACAATTTCCTTCTGCAAATGTAGAGGTGTCCAGCTTTTTATGGAAGGAAATGCCAGTGTTTTTGACAGGAGACACAGAAGCTCTCTCTTCCTGTCCACTCCACCACTATTAAGATGGTACACCCCTCACTCATCTTTAGACAGAATAGAAGGAGTCAGGCTTTCAGGCCTCTTCAAAAGAGTACATATGGTTTCAGAGTAGGCCTTTAGCATGCTAGGAGCAGTAGGCACTTTCTAGCTGTTCCACCTTCTTTTCTTAATGGATTTTCTTGAAGTCAGGAAAAAAAAACCTAGAGAATATGAGGACTATGTGCAAAAAAACTCCACTGTCGACGTTACAGAAAGTCTACCTTAAAATTCAGGCAATGAGGCAGGACAGTGACATGATAAAAACCTCATCTGAAATCACTCTGAGCCTTGCCTAGGGAGGAAGCCGAATGAAAAAAAAACCCTACAAACCCTCCCCACAGTGCAGAGGATCTCCTCCATCTGCCTCCCAGATTCTGCTGTCCTTGGTGCTGAAACTGGTTTGCAAATCTCATTACAAAGAGAAAAGAGGCTGATTCAAATGGAGCATTTTTACCTCAGCTAAGGAGGAACAAGAATGCAATACCTACAACTTCCCTTAAACTTGGCAAATTATAATTGTCTCAGAAGCCTAGGGAAACTGCATCACTGCATCAGTTATTGCAGTGGGATCTATTAAACAGATTTCTGGACTTTGCTCTCAAGAACCATGGATCAAATTTCTTCCACCACAGACGCTCTGAATTGCTTTCTGTCTCTTAGCCCTACATTTCCACCTACATGCAGAATTGTCACCACCCATTCCACACAGTTGTTTTGAGAAGAGCAGAAAGAGATGTTGAAAGGGCAACAGAAATTAGA